ACAAGTGGAATTCAACCAGGTCTGTTGTGAGATAGTAGCTCACTGATGACAATGGTGGATATGTCACTCAATTTCATGGATTAATTCAACTTAGACATTACTACCTTTGGATGCCGGACAGCTCAATGGTTCAGTGGTTAATCATTTGCTCGCGAGACTGATAGGTGGTGGGTTAAAATCTCGCGGGGCGCGATCGTGGATGAGCGCTGCTGAGAAGTCTCATAATAGGACGAAACGACCGTCCAGTGCTTCCAGGTTTTCCATAGTGATCTAGGTTCAACTGACTCATGATCTGAACTATTGAAATTCGTTATTAACACAATGTGAAATCATTAATGAAGGCAGTCTACATCATTGGATGAGTATTGGTCTACTCTCACTAAACGATTGCATAACATGTTAAAAGCATCTACTTCTTTTCGAAACAATCCAGTACATGTTTTAATTATTAATGTCTAAGGTAAGAAAGTGATCGGAGTTGAAAGATTTTTCACTAAGACTATAATTTTCTGGACGAACCAAATAGATCTAAGATCGAAGGTTTTAGTTTTTAGAGCGAAATTCATTCATTCATTTGGCTAAATACCATTTTGGCATTATAGTTGATGCTAGTTCATAATGAAAACATTAAGTATTATTCTTAACCCTAACGTTCAATTGTAAATCTTAATCCTAAATCCTCACACTAACCTATAACTTTCATTGAACCATAGTGAGATGGATGTTTCCATGTCATTTCAGTATTACTCAAAGGTCGTACATAAATTATAGTCTCAGTGACTTTACATTGATTCTGATGACACAATCACATTAGTTACAGGCGATTCAATAAATTGACATGGGGTAATAGTATAGTGTTGATATAAACATGACTGAATCAAGACTAAAGACAGAAAAAAAGATAGTGAACTTTGAAGGATGTATTATACATTAAGATTAGAATAGGGCTGTAGGATAAGCAGTGTATAGTTCATAATTTATATTTGCTTCAAGTTTGGTAACTATTTCACAGTACATTACCTTATAATTTGTTTCATTCACTTTTTAATGTACGAAAAATGATCAGATACTTAGTTACCTTAACAATTGATTAATCAATGGGTGGTGATCAATGTCATGTGTGTCAAGTCTTTATTGAGTGCAGATCGAATGCTATCGACCATGCTGCAATGTGGCCACCAGTCTAGGTGACTCGACATTACAGGCACTATATTATTGAGAATTAACTTAGTCACCTTGTTTCAGCAATATTTATTGTTCTAATTAGCGTAAAGAAGGTTCCCGAAATACTCTTTCATCTTTTAACTATGTTATTATCATGTTATTAGTAACCATCTTACAGATATTCGACGTTCCTATTTCCGTTGTCCACTTCAATTTTGAAACGACGTTCTTAATCCTGATCAGTTCATCTTTATGCTTTAGCTTAATCAATTTGTATGGTGTTGCGAAATTGATAAGTTGAAATTGAGGACCGCAAATCTTCATTAGTTCCACTTTTTGTCTAGTTGCAGAAGCGAAATCTTTGATAGCGTCCAATGAGTAGATCAAAACTTACAAGTGTTAAATACTTTTCAAAAATTCAGTCTGTGATAAAAACTAGTTTCATGTAACGAACGGGGTCTTTGTAGTTTGTTAACTAAGTTTGGTTGAGAATAGGCATTTACACTATTCCAAAATTAAATCGGCGAACGGTACTTAATTAATGTTGAGTGGGTGAAGGAAATCGATAGAAAACTTCGGAACTAAGGTGAAAGATTTATCGCTATTTGTGGGATTCTAAGAAAGGTCATCGAGCTTCACATTCTAAGACATTACTGTTGGTACGGCTTCTGAAAACTACCATGGAGCCTCTAGAAGCTCTAAAGAAGCCGAAGAGTTTTCGTCTAATCAGAACATGATGGAGCTTTCTAGAATATCAATGTGACATGCTACTATTGGATAGTAGCATGATTTTCTGTACACCACTGATCTATTAAGGACACTACGACTAATATCTTAAATTGGCTTTGTAAGAAAGAATGAAGATTAACTTAGTGATCTATTCTGAAACATGTGGTCGATAAAGTATAAACGACCTCAAATCCGTCTATTTACATCATTGATGTTTAGGGACATCCAAAACCTTCCTTGAGAAAAGCTCAAAGGAGCCCTGGGAACACTAGGAAACATTTTATCCAATCAGCATTGGATAGACGTTTCGCAGAACCTTCCGAAAGCTCAAGTCTGTCTGAAATGTTATAAATAACCTAAAATTTCTTTACATGAACTAACCTTAGAGTCAAGCGTTCCTCTCATATCTCTCACTTTTTCTCTCATGTTGAAGTTGTTGTGTAGATGTAGCCTGAGGTTACTAGAAGAGCTTAGGAAACCAATTCAAGAGTTCAGTGAGAAGATTTATCAATTTGTATTATCTAGTTAGAGATTCTGAAAGGTTTTCGTCTGCATGATCCAAATTTTAGCCACACAGAATTAAAAACTTTTGTCATTCACACCAAAAACTATATATTAAATCCATTTTCTTTACCATGATCGTAACTTTAACACACTTCGTTCTTACGTATTGTTTAAGGTAAAACTTTTCTATCTGGTTACTATCTTACTATTTTAAATGCGTGATAATGATTCACATTAAGATAGAGGTTTGTTCACTAAGGAGCTGGTAAGTTTAATCGTGAAGCTTTGATTGTTCTGACTGAAATCGATCAGCACAATCTTCAGGTAGAAGTTTCCTATTCGGAATACTCCTTATGTGACTGACAACTTGTATTAATAATCTGGGTCTTCATTGATCATTGCTGACATTTACTCTGCCAATGTCTGTACATTTATTTTGATTGACTTTACCTTTGATCTGATTTCATATATTTTTTCGTGATTTTTCTAACTGATTAATAAATTGAGCTGATTTCGTGGTTTGGTTAAGGTTAGACATTAACGCCATCAAATGCTAGTTCAATGGTCTAGAGGTTAAACGTTAGCGCGCGAAACTCAAGGTCCTGGGTTTGAATCCCGCAAGCGGGATAGTAAATGCGTACGGTTGAGGAGTCCCACACAGTGCTTCCAGGTTTTCAATGGTGGTCTAACGCCAATCAAGTCATGATCTCAATCAAAAACTTAATATTCTCCACAATTTCATACTGATGATTTCGATGAGCTCACTGATCGCTGAGTGAGCTGAGTATCAAGTTTATAAGCATTCTTTAGTTTTCTAGCTGAAATTTCAGCATTTTCTCAATTGAGTCGGTATTGACGATTGTTCATATGGATTGATACAATTCATTAATGTGATTTATATCATAATTCACCCAGATCACTTGATTAATTTTCTGTTCTATAACTACTGACTGGAGGTCAGTCGCTGCCCGGATAGTTTAGTGGTAACGTTTCTGACTGTGAAGCTGGGTGACACGGGATCGAATCTGTCAGGGAGCACTAGTTCCCTCAAGATTACAGGTACACCTTGCTGACGAGTGCCAAGTAGCACGAAACCCGGGTTCAGGGTTTCCTCTCGACTACCTCAAACCACCATCTAACCTCAAAATCCAGTTTTATACATTAAAAAAGGGTTGGAGAAGTTTATTTGGAACATTAAACAGTTTTTGGTGGTTTGTATAATAGGTCTTATTTGCGCGGATTTTATTGACATGATTTTTGACTGAAAACTTGGTAAATCATCTTGAATTTAGTTGATAACGACTATAATTTAATCATATTGGCACTTTGACAGTTAATCATTAATAATATCCCTTTTGTCTGTCATGTTTTTATCGTGAATTTGATGGACTGATCAATCGCAGTCTTAAACATCATTTGGAAGATTCAAGTAAACCATACCAAGTGAAATCAAGCCACAAGCAGGTGGCTATTAGAACTCAGTAGCTAAGTGGATAACGTGATGGCGTTTGAAGCAAACGTTGCTGGGTTCAAGTCCTGGTGTGAACATCAACTCTGAGATCCAGGCACATGTAACTGACCAGTCCCTAATAGGACGAAACATGCATCCTAGATCCCACTGCTAGTCACTATCCATCTTTGCTTAAAAAAGCTTGTGACCTAAGGCAATATCGAGGCAGTTCGCATAGGATTCACATATGCCTGTAAGAGACTGAACAATTGGAGTCTTAAATAACAATAAGAAGATTCAGGTAAACATAGCCAAGTGTTCTCTGAAAATGTTCAGTCCTTCTTATGACCTATTCATTATCGTTTGCTATTAGAATAGACAGTTATAAAATGCACTCTGATTTAATCTATAATGAAGGTTTATGAACAATTGACTAAAGATGAAAAATCCTTGACTGGATGATCCTTCATTGCTAAAAAGGAATTGAAATAAAGACATTTGTAGAATATGAAGTTTGACAAAAGTGAATTTCAATTATTGATACCAACCGTGCAGTGATGTTCTGGTGTCTTTCTTCATTTAAACGGCTATCCTGATAGATTAACATGAATCGGTGTTGTTAACATACGGGAAGCAATGAATAGGTATTGAATCAAATAGTATTCACTAACGAAACTATATTAGATTTGAATAGAAGACTATCTGTGTTATAACGCCTAATTTTTTCTCCTCTACACTAATGGAACGCTAATTTGCTTTAGACGAATCTCTACACTAGGTACTCTCTAGGTGTTTATGTAACAAGACTTCAACACAACTTACATCAAGAACACGTGACTAGTCTGACTAGGGCGTAGGTATATTTCCACACTAAAAACCGACAATAATAATAATAACAAGAGTAGGAGAATATATAATTCACCTAACGCCTATCAGACTATCCACAAGTCTGACTTAGCAAACAACCAATCACCTTCATACATCAATATATCAACCTGGATTTTCACCGCCTTTAATAATATTCAACTAGTCTTATTGTGAACATGGAGACTTAGATCAGTTTCCAAGAATGTTAAAAGTCAATTACGTAACAAACATTTTTCACATTGTGTCAATATTCAATAAGTAATTGAGATTTATCTTTATTAAACAGATTCATCAAAACCCAATCGATTGAACTTAATGCGACAAACATCTGATCCATTAAGTCATCCAGTAATACGTGGTCGTAGTCCACAAAGTTCTAGTCAATGGATAAATATTCAAGATGCTTCACATAGTACAAATCAAATACCATTATATCAACAAGCATTACTTAGTCCTCGAGTAAAAGTTCCACAAAATAATAATTTACTAACTAAAGGTTTAATTCAATCAGATTATACTGCAAATATGTACTCTGATATACCACAATATCAACAACAAACTCAACTGACACATAATCAATCGTCAAGTGGGCAAATTTCAATGAATCGATCAAATTTAGCACAATTACAAAGTTTATATCAACAATTACTTCAACAGCATCAACAACTTTTACAACAACAACAACGTCAACAACTTCATCCACAACAACAGCAACAACAACAAACTTTGGATTATACAGCTGGTAATAAAGATTACGTAATTTTATAACCTAATGATTAATGCATTTTTGTGTTTATTAGTGATATGAGGGGGGGGTGTAAATATGTAAGACAACTATTAGATTAATTGATGGTTTGTTACTTTTCATAGGGCAGAGGATACCAACCAGCATGCTCTTCAGACTATTCTTTTCTCAACTTTCCGTTCTAATTGTTGCTATTCATTCTTTTATGAAAATGTTTCCTTCAGTATATCTATTCTCTTTTTGCCTTGATGATTCTGAGTTGGAGCTTGCCTCATGATTCAGTTTGATGATTTATACAATATTTGTTCTATCCACTTGCAGCGTCTTCTCCTAATTTCTTCCTCAGCTGGAAGCTGGTTTGTCCTTTTCCACAGTAGATTGTCCCAGTTGGTATCCGGCCAATGAACATTGAGTGTCTTGCTTAAGCAATTGTTTATAAATACTTGTACCGTTTTGGTGATATGTTTGATGGTCCTCCAAGTCTCAGCATCGTACAACAGAACTGTCTTGATGTCTGCAATGAAAATTAAGACTTTGCTGGCAGTTGTTTTGAGTTCCAGATGTTCTTTAATTGTAGGAAAACTAATATTGTTTTGCCGATCCGTTCCTTTACATTTTCATCAGATTCCCCCTGTTTATTAACTATGTTGTTCAGGTATATAAAGCTTTCACCTCCTTCAGAACTTCTTCACCAAGTGTGTTATGGTTTGTGCACGCTGAGTTTTATTTCTTGATTTTGCTTTTTACCTTGTTAAAGTTGAGACATACTACTGCACGATCTCCTGCCACTCCGTTTGGCTTCATTTGAATTTATTGCTGAATACAGGTCAGAAAGTACAGGTCATCTGTAAAGTCCAAATAATCTTGTTGCATTCATGCTGTTTTCTGTTTTCTGTGAATCATCTAAGATGTGGAGATTTTCATTATCCAATCAATCATCAGAATAAAGAGAAAAGGAGACAGTAGGTACTTTTGTTTCATACCGGTTCTACTTGGAACACATCTGTGAGCTCGGTAACTATTGAAGACTAGAAAATATCAGGTAGCCGTTTCAGGCTTGAAAAATTTAAGATTATCCGTTCATAGGGCATATTTTCAATTTGAAGTTACATTGCTAAAAATTTCCAAATAGAAACGGAACAGCTATCAAGTGCTTTTCTACAGTTGTCTAAATAAGGCTAACCCAATGAGTAAACCTCTGTGTTTAATTAAAAGAATAGTAAAGGTTGATCTCTTATATGTAAGTTAAAGATAATTTTTCAATCAAGAACTGATATCATGAAAAAATCAGATGTCAATTCATATCTGTGTACATCCAGTCCACGGACTCCTCAACAGCACAAACAATTCGACCTTGATTAGAGGACATTCTGACAGTATATCTGCGTAAGTTGTCATGACATTGTCAATAATAGGATGATATTAAATCACTTAGGCAGGGAGATATTCGTAACATGTTACCTGACACTAAAGTGCTCATTTTCGAAGTTAGTTAGTTGACGCCCATTGTTGAAACGAACCGACTTATTGTATTAATAAGAAATGAATGTTAATTGAGTTATAGAATAAATAGGATCATAAAACTCTTTGTTCCCTCTATTTGAGATCTGTATTGTGTGTTTAAATCTTCCCATCGATGTTTCGAATTGAAATAGATCAATCTGTTATTGACATATGTGCATCTTATGAAGATTGTATTCAGGTACGAGCATCAACTGACGAGTCCCAAATAGGACGAAATACGCATCCTGCCATCCATTGCTACCCATCATCATCTCTGCTTACAAATCTAGTCTTATTCACTTATTATATCATGTTGATTTGTTTCATGGTAATTAGTTGAAAGCAATTGATAATAAACTCCTGATCTTAGTTTTATATGAGTTCCAAGTCATTAGGACAAGTGTACGTAAAACATTTAGAGGAACTAATCATCTTCATGGTAGTGAACAGATTCATCTAACAGACAGATTAATTCCAGGAATTCATTGTAATTATTACCTACCGATTGAAATGATGTATTTATTTCTTAGAATGTGTATTTATCTATTTGTCTATAGTATACATACATGTATTTTTCACATTTAAGGTCAACCAATAGATAGTAGTCTTTATGCAACTGTTCAACGTCCATCCGCTACTATTCCTAATTCATTGGTTGCAAGTTTACAACGTGTAATTTTACAGCAGCAGCAACAACAACAACAACACCAAACTTCAATGCAACAACAATTACAGATTCCTCAGACACAAGCGTCAATCATCCCCAGTGTGAGTATGTATCCACAGGTAGGTTATTTAACCAATATTGGTATCTAAGTGAATTTCTTCTCATACATTGATTAATTTGGCGAGAGTAAAATTCAAAGATTGCTGAAGAATAATATGAAACCATTTCATTTCACTAGGTTTTCATTAGCTTCTTATAATTTAGATAATATTACATCATCAAAATTACCATGGAAGTTGACATACGAATGTGTACATCATGATGTAGAAAAGATTCTACGAAAGTCAGTAAGACCAATAGCATAACCTCTTTAGAATCTCTTATTTACCATTTGATCTATTACTAATTGATATAATTCCCTACTCCATTCTTCATACCTTATCGATTTCCTCTCACTGTACTGATGTATTATCTGATTACCTAAACAAGACTTATATTTTTAAGCCAAGATGGATAATGGCTAGCAATGGAATCCAGGAAGCGCGTTTCGTCCTATTTGGGACTCGTCAGCTGGATGTACATAGATCTCAGAGTTGATGTTCACTCTGGAACTGAAACCCAGTACAGTTCGCTTAGTAGTTATGATTACGTTCTCTATCAGAGCATAATGATGTAAACGTAGGAAACTTTTCATTTGAATCCCAGTCACTGAACATTCTACAGTGTAATTAGGGTAATATTCAATATCATGTGGATTATGTAAATAGAATAGTCACCAAAATTACAGATAATCTTTAATTTTCCTATCATATCACTTATTTTTATTAATTTAAACACATAAACATTAGAACAAGGAGGTATCAAATATGTATGCGTGACACTTCATCATTCGATTAGTGTGACGATTGAGATACTGCCCAGACGCCTAAACTGAAGCAAATGGTTTTCTCAGTAGACCACTTTTCAAGCTTGTGATCTAAAGCTCTAGTCCATAAGCCAGTAGAGCAACGTTGAGAGATGCAGTCCCATGATAGCTGTTGACCAACAATAGGTTCGTACGCCATTTATTCCGTATGGATCGTAGAGCTCACATTCACCAACGGATTTTCCAACTCTCCTACACAGATCCTCCATATCAACCAACCCGTTTAAAGCGTCGAACATTTGCTTTTCTTCCTCTAAGTTTCGTATACAACAGCAATGCTGTGAAAAGTCGGTGATTGAGACTTCTCTAGAAGTGTTTGTATATGTGAGGCCATGTGAGAGCATTTGAAGAGGAAGAGCAGACTCTCTCCACCATCATCCATATCAGAGCATATGGAGCAAAACGTTTTATATACACAAACTTACAAGCTATTCAAAGATGCCTTTAAAAAGTTAAGTAGAGATAACCGTTTGAGTATTAACATTACAAAGCTAAAATGCATGATTACAAAAGTGTTTAGAAATGAACTTGTATATTGTCATCACAATCATATTAACTTTCTTACAATCTTCATTACATCATGATGTACATAGTCATTTCTAATCTCCACCGTAAAGCTATCGTATATCAATTTCCATGATAATTTTGATGATGTAATATTGAGATAGTGGAGAAGATTTGTAGCTCAGGTAGATGATTTTGATAGTTTTGTTCTCTGAGCTGGATGGTTTGGTTGTAGAGCTTTCATCATTCTTCTAAATGACATCATAATCACAAACTTCAGATAGAAGACTTCACTTCTATATGAAGTTTGTGCTGATGATGTCGTTCAGAAGAACGTTAAAGCTCCACAACCAAACCATCCAGCTCAGAGAACAAAACTCTATCAAGACGATGTAATATTACCCAAGTTGTAAGGAGATGACGAGTTTTTAGTGAAATGAAATGAATTCATATTATTCTTCATCAATCATCATATTTAAGAGATTTAGACATTCTAACACTATTTTCTCAGGGTTTATTATGATTATTATCACTGCGAAACAAGATCGAAACATACTACTAAAGGGAATTAGAACTAAGGAAGGATAAAAGGTTGAACGTATCATTTTTGTACAAAGAGTTTCGGTAGTAGACTCCATGCTTGGCATGATGTAGTGCTTAAACTAAATTACAAGCAATATCTATTTTTGATATGGCAAAGTGCACAATCATGGGTGTTTGTATATTTACCTAATGTTCTCTCACTCTCACTCCCGACTATGAATTTTCACTTCAAGTTTCTTTAAGTTTGTGAATAGAATGTTAACAAAAACACCGTTACATTGTAGTCGATGTTAGTTGGTGAAAAAATCTTATAGGGTTATATAATCTTAACCCTCATAACACTAACCCAGCTCCTAGTATGTAAACTTAAAATTTCTCTCTTTACTGTGAGGACAGCTCGTGGGCGAACTCAAGGAAGCTCTAAGAAACTCAGAAAGAGCCGAGGATATTTCATCCAACCATCTTTCGGAAGAGTATTCCAGAATTTCGGCGTGTAGTTCCCCTGTTGGATAAATGCTAAAACTCCTTGTATGCGGATTGAATGACTATAATGATGATTTTGTTTTCACTAAAACAAAACTATAAATACCTGACAGATTTGTACCATATTTGACACTGTTTGGAATAACCTTCCTTTCACTTGTGTTCTGTCTTCTCATTTACGATGTGGAGGATTCACGTGTTCGAGTGCTCTAGTTGTACGCGGTATATTAAGAATCTAAACTCTAGATATAATATTTACAACGATGAGTAATATAACACGTCAAGGATTATTGTACAGTGTTGTACAGTGTTATTTTCTATTTTATGCTACGTTGTGGTCTGCTTGACTGGTATATGAACAAAGTATGTTTGAAGTATAATGATTCATATATCCGAGGCTGAGACTTGCGTTCTGGACTCAACTGCTGGGCTAGACAGGGGAGCTGGGCCAATCAGAACCCTAGGTCGTTCTACGTGTTTGCGCGCCTTTGGTCCGATCGATAATTCGCTCCCCTTTAATCTGCTGCCGTCTCATAGTTATAGCAATTGGCGACGGGGTGAAAAAACTACAATCCAAAGTCATTCTGTAATTGGACGAAATCCAGTCTAATTATTCAACCAATCAGTATCCAGATTGTCATCAGTGTCCTTGGACAACATTGGTCATTATACATACAGTAATTTTTGTTGCTGGTGCTGACCCAAAAAATGACACTCCCTTCCGATCGATTACAGCTGCTCTTTGAACGACATTTGGAGTTATTAGTCAAATTCAGCACGCAGCTGCTAAATCAGCCACGCTATGAAGATGCGACGGAAGTGGATGGATTGATATCTGAATTACACAGTGAGCTGGAAAATGACAGCAGCCTCCACGAATCCTCAATAAAGTGTACTTTAAACGAAACGGCAGTCATCCATGATGCGCCCAGTGGTCCAGTACTTCCTATTCCACAAACATGCCCGGTAATGGATTCGAACTCCGTTATCCCCGAAACAGCATGTACAGACAGTAACATATCCAGCTCACGAGATCTCATTGTTTTGCCAGAAAATGTGTTCCACGCATCAAATAATAACCAAGAACCTGGTACAGTTTTGTTGGACGCCGATTATCATAATGATCCACTACCTACTAAAGATTTAAACCCTGATGACTTCGAATTGAATGGCGTTTATCCTCAATATCTGATCGATTTTACTGGATTCCCTGTGCAATATGTTTTAAATACAATCAAATTAATTGTAATTTGGGTTTATGAAGACCCAACATTATTTCGCGGGTGAGGATAGACGCGAAAAATATTCAAAATCGGGATATCAACTCCGGATCTCCAAAACAGAGATGGAGGTGTTGGGATATTCAGGAAAATATCACAGAAATTATCCTGTTAAGTCTAATGCTATTCTTGGACTTGGACATGGTATGATTTTCTTATTAGTCAGTACTTATTTCACGTGTCATTTTCCTACTGGTCAATATTGTACAATGTTATTTTCTATTTTATGGTACGTTGTGGTCTGCTTGGCTGGTATATAAACAAAGTATGTTTGAAATATAATGATTCATATCTCAGAGGCTGTGACTTGCGTTCGGGACTCAACTACTGGGCTAGATAGGGAAGCGGCCAATAGGGAAATGACACCATTTAACGTTCAAGGGTAGCATTAGACTTAACCGGATAATTGTTTTTGGGATATTTTTCTGAATATCCCAACATTCGCATATTATAATCTCTTTTCCACTGTATTTTTATTTCTCTATTGTTAATAGTTATATAACTAGGAAGTGTTTCCTGATAGGTTAGCAGGTCGTTCGAAGTCGTCAGTATAGTACTCCTTTGTTGAAATATAATTAAGAGTTTAGAGGTTGTGGAGATTAAGTTTTTTTGATTGAGATCATGAATCGGCTGATGCTAGACCACTATTGAAAACCTGGAAGCAATGAACGGCCGTTTCGTCCTATGGTGAGACTCCTCAGCAGTGCGCACCCACGATCCCGTCCAGTGCTTCCACGTTTACAATGGTGGCCTAACATCAATCGGTTCATGATCTCAATCAAAAATTATATAATTACGTTTTTTGAAAGAATACCAGAACATGATGTGCTGAAAAATATAGTTTAAATAAGAACCCTTACATATAATGAACCCATTGAATACGTCGTTTAGCTATTATGAGTCTATTACTTCATAGATAATACGTATTTGTTTGAAGTGACCAGTGTTGAAATTAAATCTTAGTATGTGAGATATGAAGCTTGATATCCAAATGACTTCAGTCATAACATATCAAATGGAATGGATCATATACCATGGAATTGACAGTTTCCTACTTACTGACTTATAGTCAATAAAAAGTTGTTACTATCAACCATATCAAGAATTCCATTGAAGGACCTAGAATGACAACATTATTTCTGACTATTAAAAGGATCTGGATAGAATTCTCAAATGAATGAGATTATGTAGCGAGATGTATTCAATCTGTAGATTATAAGATTGGTAGTTGACCTTGTAAAACTAGTAACCTTTCTAAAATCGTTATGCACTTGCAGGTTTCGTTATTTTCCTAATGAAATACGCTTGATTATTACAGATTTCCTCTTTGTTTTCTAGAAGATAGTTTCAAAATCACAAGATCATTTGTTAGCGTCTCAACAATGTAGTGCATGCATAATCAGCCTTGATCAAGTTAAATACTGATGTAGTATTACTCATATCCATATAAGTACTATATAAAACGGTGGTCAGGCATAGAATGTATTTCAGTAAAAAATCGGGAAGGAAAGAACAGAGACGGAATGCAATTGGTATGAAAATGCATGAAAAATGAAATCTGAGACAATGGACTGATACTTCCAAAGGAACAGTCGAATTCGAGAAGATGGATTGATATTTTGCAAATTAGCTACATTCACTCAATAATTGCTCCCTCTCAACTGATTTACAGTTCTAATGTAAAATATGATTTCATTCTAAATGTTTTAACAATAAATTTTCATTTTATTTCTATGAACAGGTCACACCAGCTATACAACCCTTAACAACACTTAGTCTTTCTGGTTTATCTACATCATCTGCTTTTAATAATCTTGCACGAGCTTTACTTCCTACATCAGTTGCTTATAATACTGGAGAATCATTAACTGCACCACCATCATTGTCTAGTGTTCCACCTCCAACACTATTTCATAATCCTAATTTAATGCCAAATTCTAATCTACTTCTTTCAAATTTAAGACCACCAATGTTTCCCCAACAACAACAACAGCACTTGTTACAGAATTTTCAAATTCCTTCAGCTATGGAACCATCTTATCTTTCATCACAAAATAGGTTAGCTGGTCCATCAAATATGGGTAAGTAACATGATTAAAGATGTTTGAAAAATGTTTTAAGAAATCTATTAAATACTTGAACATTTTTGAATTTATGGAAATTATAGGTAACGTTGAGATGTGCATTGCATATTACTTACTTGATTACTTACTTACTTATGCCTGTTACTCCTAATGGAGTGTAGACCGCTGACCAGCATTCTCCAACCTACTCTGTCCTGGGCCTTCTTTTCTAGTTCCATCCAATTCTAGTTCATTTTTCTCATGTCTGTTTCCATTTCCCGGTGTAATGTGTTCTTTGGTCTTCCTCTGGTTCTCTGGCTTTGAGGATTCCATGTGAGGGCTTGTCTTGTGACGCGATTGGGTGCTTTCCTCAATGTGTGTCCTATCCACATTGCATATGCTTAATCATAATCTAGTTTAATACTAGATGAAATGGATACCAATCAATGTACGCTTGAAGAATGTAACTTACAATCTAACCAAATTATGGAATTATTTCATCATAGTGTTACTGAATTATAGACTTCTGGATTTAATTCATTATTTCTACTACATGGTATTAATGACTTCTTCAGAAAATGTTGAAACTAATTACAAATGTCACTTGGTAATGTTTACTTGGATCTTCCTATTGATATTTAGGACTGCAATTGATCAGTCAATATCGAGGCAATACGCACAGTATGCACATATGCCAACATAATACTGATCAATTGAAGTCCTGAAAGCCAATGGGAAGATTCAAATAAACAGTACCGATTGGATTTAAAACTTCATTCGATTTTACAAACAGGTGGCTGTCAGTACTCAGTAGCTAAGTGGATAATGCTATATCGTCTGAAGCGAACGGTACTGGGTTCGAGTCTTAGCTGACGAGTGCCAAATAAGACGAAACGCGCGTTATAGATTCCACTGCTAGTCAGAAAACGTTTACTATTGAAAATCGTGAGTGACTTTAAAATCAACTCTTGAAACTAGTTAATAAGGATTATGTCTTGAAACCCTCCAAACAATGTTACGCGTCAAGTCAACAATCCGACTCCTAATTCTAATCTGGTCTATTTCCCATTGAACATTTTCTTAAAGTTTTATGTCTCTCACTTGATCAATTACACTCCCTACCAACACCATTAACCCAGACCCGAAAGCTAGATCCCTATTGATCTACTATTCGCAAGCTCCTTTCTACGCCTCCGACTTCAGTCAAGTAGTAGTAACAAGACTCTACTTCACCTATATTTCATTCAGACGTTTTAAATATAAAAACACAGTGGACCACACTACATCATAAGATGAAAAATAACAAATATACATAAGCAAACCAAGCGTCGTTGTAACTAGTACAGACTGTAAGTAATCGACTGTCAACAAATTAAGAATAATAAATCGTTAAACAGTAGTTAATGAATCTGACGAAAGATTTTGATAAATGAAGTATGTATATAGATTGATTTTATCATGATAAAGTAAATTCATACATTGAGTGATTAGTCAACAAAATATTTGGATTCCTTAGGCACGCCAATTCGGTTAGCAAAAACTGAGGTCTCTTCTTACTGAAATAGCTGGTTGGGCCCATGTATCGGAACTTAGTGTATCCGTATTGGAATCGGACACTACATAACATAACATGAATCATCATCTCATACTGATTGTCGTGCTAAAACCATGAGGAGCTACTTTGGGTCAGTGAAGCATATTTCCATCAATTCTTTTTCTAAAATGTCAGCTTTTTTGTTCGAAACTATCTTTACCCCCCTAACACTAAAAATGTTTGTTTTTGATATACTCAACATTTTAGGTTTAATTGGTGATATTTCACAAACTGATTTATTGAATGATCCATCTTGGCAAGCTGAACAAAGACGAAGAATTGATCTACAAAGAACACGTTCATTGTTGAATGAACAAGAAAGGAAATTATTTGAAGAATTGAAAAATATTCGTAATCGACGAGTTGGTCTTTCAAAATTAGAACAATTTGGACGTTCAACTACTGGTAGTGGTGGCAACGCTGTCGGTACTTCTGGATTAACACCTCTAGAAAGTTATCGTCGAGTTACTAAACGTATATCAACTAGTGAAGATGCACGTCTTAGAAATCGTAATAGACCTTTATATGCAATTGGTCGATCTGGGTCAGGTTAGTTATGATTTACGGTTATAACGCAGGAATTATTATATTTTTCTCTCTTGTATGAGATACTACATATACTACGATAGTAATTCTAGTGATAGAGTTTATACGCCATACACAGATTGGATCACGTCATATCCGATGCTTGATTCATGATCACAACGATTTAGAATAAACCCTAGAAACTAATCAATTTCACACAATTGCATGCAGCCACATTCAGTGGATTCAGAGTAGCAATTAATAAAGGAAAAGGAAATCATACATTTAATAGTTGGCAAGCTAAATGTTTGTTTTTTCATGCTCCCAAATGCCTTGGTACCTCCGAGAGTGAGAAGAGTCAGCTCTTCATCTCCAAATGCTCTAACATGGCCATGTTCACACAACTACTGTCAGAGAAGTCCTACTCACTGACATCTCGCACTGCGGGTGTTGTTTACGAAATTGAGATGACGAAAAGTGACTATTTGTTGCTTAAACCGGGTGGGTGGATACGGAGAGCCTATCAAAGGGAGTTGGAAAATCCCCTTTCCAAGGCAATCGTGTACATGTGCTTCAGGATCCTGAGGGAATCAATGGCCTCCGAACCTAGTATTGGCCACCGGCTACCACGAGACTGCATCTCTGGACGCTGGTCCACTGTCTTATGGATTGAACGTTTGGGTCTAAGGCTGGGGATGTTGCCCCTAAGAAAACCACCTGCTTCGGTCTGGGTGTCCAAGCAGTATTCCAACCGTCAAACAAATCTTTTTGAAGATCCATCACTTCTTTTTGTCAAAACCCTATTGCGAAACAAGATAGAATGACCTACATTATTTTCAAACATGAAAACTATAGAAAGACTGGCATGTATTGAACTAATGTTAAACGTCAATTAAGTTAACATTCTCATCATAAATGATTGAAATGTCGTCATGTCATTATCATGTTACTGTACTGATTCAAAGTATTACAAATCGAATTCATGAACATTTATGTCATCTCTAGTTTTTAGTGTTAAACCTTTATTTGTTCACATTTTCTCTAGCTGATACAGCAAGAGTACCACTTGGTAGTGGTGGTTATTATCCGTATGGTGATGCTTACGGATCAGATCTTGGTACGTTCATGATTTATTAATCTTTACAATAGTTATAATCATTATTAATAATTCATTATTAGATATAGTTCTGTATACCTTGACATGAAGTCACCCTTTTAATGTAAGAGATTATGATATACTGTCCGATTGTTTAAACTGAAATAGATCGTTTTTGATAATTTGATGTGATTCCAGAATAACAAATAAGAACTTTCGTCTAAATTTGATCGAATAGTTTCACTGTATTTGGGCGCCAAGTTAATGTGAGACAAGGAAATATCATCCTTGAAAACGTTTGTACTAGATTGCCAGGCGAAACGTTGGATTTACTTCAAACTCATTTGTTGATATTTTACAAATACATTCTTCCTCTTTAACAAAATAGATTGTATTAGTGTCAGAATGGGTTTTTGTGGAGATTGTATTAGTTTCAATAGTTGAGATCATGAGTCAATTGAAGCTAAACCACCATGGAAAACGTTGAAGCACCGGATGCGCACTGCTGAGGAGTCTCATAATTGGTCGAAACGGCCATCCAGTGCTTTCAGGTTTTCCATGGTGATCTAGCTTCAACTGACTCATGATCTTAACCATTGAAATTACTACAATCTCCACACAACATATGCTCACTAGTGACTGGCTTCACGAGGTGTATCCTGAAGTTCTAGTGAGAAGTAGTTACCAGTGGAGTTCAACCAGGTCTGTTGTGAGACAGTAACTCACTGAAGGCAATGATGGATGTGTCGCTCGATTTCGTGGATTAGTTGAAGTTAGACATTAACAACGTTGGATGCCGGCCAACTCAGTGGTCTAATGGTTAAGAGTTCGCGGGGAGACTAATGGGTCCTGGGTTCGAATTACGCAGAGGGCAAGGTCCTGGATGCGCACTGCTGAGGAGTTCCACAGTAGGACGAAACAGCCGTCTAGTGCTTCCAGGTTCCCCATAGTGGTCTAGCTTAAATTGACTCATGATCTCAACTATTGAGATTGTGTTTGCTTTGATATTGAAACTTAACAAATCAAAGTTGATCAATCCAAGTACTAATCCACCGCTTAGCATATTAATTTTTAAGTATATATTAGTTCAGCATTTTTTAAATATCAATTTCCATCTCGAGTTGACTATTGAAACTCAACTAGATCGAGAGTTGCGACATATTAATTTCGAGTTTCAACTGGCAACCCGCATAAATCACTGAGATACCTACTCCTGTCATTTAGACACTTCAACAAGTTATATGTTATTATGTTTGTTTTAACACATCATTATGTCTATTAATCATATAACCTATTTCGGATGTGTTTGTGAAAGGTTTAAGACCTTCCGGTGTACAACTTACAAAAGAGCCCAATGAGAGGCATCATGATGGCTGTCGATATGTATCGAAAGGAATGAACATTATTCAGATGTCGATTCCTGAACTGTTAACATCTAACTGCCAATCACTTATTAGCAAGGTGGATTATCTTTGATTCCTATTAAGTTTAAACATATATCATAATTATGTTATCATCACAATTCAACAACCCTGGTTGAATGATTTACAAGACGATTGCTCAGTATCACTACAAGATTTCATTATGTGTCGTCAGAATCGATCAAGAAATAAGGAACGGTAACTTGGTGACATACTTTGACCTGGGAATTCTACATTGTACCAGAAATATAATATTGAATAAAGCCATTAGTAATATCTCACGGATACCATAAGATAAGAGTACGATATTGTGGTTTGACTGAATATAACAATACTTATCTTAGATCGCACAGGTTTCGTACATGATAAATATCAGAGGGTTAGGTATTTGATTTTTCCAACAAGATTTAACTCCCTCATACAATGCGAATCTAATCTGATCAATGAGAATCAATTGACCAATCATACATCGGAATCTTTGAATTTTAATCAAGTGAGACTTTGCTCTTCTATCTCATACACACAAGCAAATGTAGGTGAAGTTAGTCAGTGTAGCAGTAGCCTCAGCACACTAAGCCTCAACATGCACAACGGAAAAAGCAACATCCTCAAATACAATATGAAAAACACCAACATAGTTACACTTAATGGAAAAACTCTGGAAGTGGTGGAAACATTCACGAATATGGACAGCATTATCGATGAACAAGGAGGATCTGATGAGGATATAAAGGCAGGAATTGGCAAACTATATGCAACGTTCCTACGGTTGAAAAACATATGCAACTCAAAACAACTGTCAGAAAAACATTAAAGTCATAATCTTGAATACAAAGGTCAAGACAGTTCCGAGCTGAAACGTGGAGAATTACTACAGCCATCATCAAAAAGGTACAAGTATTTATAAACAATTGTCTACACAAAATAGTCAATGTTCATTGACCGGATATCATCTAGGACAATCTACTGTGCAAGAAAACAAACCAGCTTCCAGTTGGAAAAAAATCAGGAAAAGACGATGGAAAAAGATAGGACATACATCAGACTGTATCACAAAGCAGGCGCTAACTTGGAATGCTGAATGCAAACGGAAAAGACAAAGGCCATAGAACACACTGTGTCGAGAATTGGAATCAGACATCAAAATAATGAATAACAACTAGATAGAATTGCCCCAGACAAAGTTGGTTGGAGAATACTGGTACATGGCCGATTCTCCTCCACCTGGTGTAACAGGCGTAATTAAGTAAGGTTAAAAATATCATGTTCTCTGTGAGATCTGAAGTTTTGGCCTCAATCTTTGGTTGTTATGTGATTATAAGCGTGAACCGAAAATTCGAAAATAAAAAAGACATTCAATGGTCACATGGAACTTGACAGCAATAACAGGTCTATAAAAGACATCTTTCTTTGCCTATGGGTTAGGAGCTAACTGAATAGATCACTGATAATGTATCAGATTGTGACACTTGTCGATGCTGATTAAAATGTTCAGGGAAGCAAACGTTAAGGGAATACATTACGTTGATAACGTGTACGAACTAGTATGTAACTTCCATCTTTTGATTTCCCTCCACTTGTATTCAATGTCTAATCACTTATCTTAGTAACTAATATTGTAAGCGTTTACTTAAATACAATTATTTCTTGAATAGATTTATATTTTGAAATGGAATTTCGGCTTTTTTTCAACCTACAGATGAAGATTCAGCTCTATTGGCTATTTTAGAACAAAGATTATCTAGAAAACCGGAAAGTCGAAGAATCTACTCAGATTCTGAGATGGGATTACAAGATGCAGGTGATATTCCATTACGTATTGTTGGACAACAACAACGTTCTGGTCATGTGGTTGACGGGTCTAGTCAAGCTTTCACTGGTCCCACTATACCAGGTAACAGTATTATTATTACTATTATTGTACTTAAAAGTCCTCGGAAGATAGACACTTCAACCGCTTTGATGTTTTATGTCTTCTTGTCTTTATATAATCCTAAAGTCTGTCAACATACGAAAAACCATTTTGTATTTTTAGGATAAAATAAATTTCGAAAATTTAAGTCTGATGAGTAGAAGGTGATATTGCATTAATATAATCAGTGATATAAGTAACAGTTCTAATTATGAGGAAATTAAAAGATTCACTGATCAGTAATTTAATATAGATCAACATAGAACTATACAAACATGACATTATCAATACAGGGTTGTGGTATTCTGAAACCGTAAACCGATCAATGTTAGACCACCACTGAACTGATGTTTTGTATTAGTATGAAACTTCTCGTCATTGAGCACTCACGAATCTGCATGCGGGAATCAAACCTTCGGTCTCGCGCGCGAACGCTTAATTTCTAGTGACTAGCTACGGGAAAGAATTCTCAGAATTTTAGTGAGAAGTTCTGAACAATGAAGTTCAATAGTTTCAGGTGTGAGGCAGTTACCCACTGAAGACAATGGAAGATGATCACGTAATTTCGTTGATGGACTAAACTTAAATATTAACACCATTAGATCCCAGGTCATTTGTTTTGTGGTTAGGTGTTCGTATGCAACACCAAAGCTATCGAGACCAATCACTCCGTGCGGGATCTTGAACGCGCACTGCTGAAGAGCATCACTATAGGACGAAACGACCTTTCAGTGCTCCTAGGTTTCCAATGGTAGTCTAACACTGATCGGTTCGTGATTTCAGTGAAACATGGCATTGTTTGCTATCCATTAACCAGTCAATCGTACATTTGATTTATTCATTACAAAATCGATTTATCAGTCAAAGTCACGCGTTTAAAAAGCTTCTCAATCAGAACAACATAAAGGTCAGGTAATTGGTCGAGAGGAAATACCGTACACCTAAGTTTGCAACTGTTTAGAATATAACAGCAAGCCATACCTGTAATTGAACAGAACTGGTATTTAATGAGGGAATCGAACATAGACTTTCACTACAAAAAACATGTACAAATTAGTTCTTCTAACACAAATTTACTAAATCTGATCATCACTTACCTGACAGGTTCAGCGACCTAAATACACTAACAACCGGTGCAAATATATAGCATCTTTTTAAAGGTTACGCTTCGCAGACACAAAGTGTTACATAATTATTTACTATATAGTGTTATTCACCAAAATGCGGTATTACTGTTTTTTACGAAATTGAAAGGACAAAAAGCGAATGTCCGAAGCTTTAATCGGGTTGGTTGGCATGGAGAATCCATGTAGGGGAGTTGGGGAACCATGATTTCAAATCAATAGTGCACATGGACTCCAAGATCTTGAGGAGACAAATAGTGTATGAATCAATTATTGGTCGCCTGCTGCTATGGGATTGTATATCTTAACGTTGCTTCACTGCCTTGTGAATCAGACCTTTAGGTAGAAGGCTCGGATTGTGGCCCCCATGAAAAACCACCTGCTTTGGTTTGAATATCCTGGTAGTATACTAACCCTCACACAAATCAAGTGACTAGTGTAGCACATATGCATTCGGTGCTCCTTTTTACCAATATTTATGTGTTCAAATAAAATATGATATTCAATTTCGTGGATTATTTGAAATTAGACATTAACACAGTTGGATGCCGGCCAGCTCAGTGGTTTAGTGGTTAAGTGCTCGCGCGCGAAACAAATAGGTCCTGTGTTTGAATCTCGCAGGTGGCGAGGTCGTTGATGCGCACTGCTGAGGAGTCTCACAGCAAAACGAAACGGCAGTCCAGTGATTCCAGGTTTTCCATAGTGGTCTAACTTCAACTGACTGATGATCTTAATCATTGAAATATACAATATATGTTTAAGTGTCGCTTGAATTATATGCTATACAACTTGGTTGACTGTTATCGGTTGTATTTCTATAATAATTAAGTTGAACACTATTTCAGTGTTATTGGTCTGTTTTCATTCATCACTTCTCGATACAAGTTTAAATATGTAAATAATAAAAACTTATTTTACAGTTTCACCAATGAATTTACTATTTCCATACATGGATCTCGAATCGAAAACAACTCTTCCCCCAACTCCACCTCCTCGTTCTTGTATTCATGAATTTGATTATTCTTTACAATCCACATATTATCCATATCATCCTGTCTTACATCCTTATGAACATGATAATTCATATCGAGATATTAGTCCATTATCTGATATTATTATGTCATATGGTAAGAATTGAGTTCGTATGTCTATGTCTATGTGTATAGATGAAATGGTTTGCTTTTAAGCATGACTGTCTTGCTCAATTAATATGCATGCCAACTTTATTGAAACGTATTATTCGCTCAAATAAAATAAAGCCTGATAGAATATCATACTCTAGTAAACAATATGAACATTAAAAAAACATCTGTATTCTCTTTTGTTTACTATAATCTAGGTGAACAAAATGAAGACTCGGAATTATTTCCAAGACGGGTAGGTTCTTTTTCGAGTAAAAGTAATTCGTAATCATTTTGTATAAACAGAATGAAGTTGATATAAGTATTAGATAACTTCTCTGATGAGGTATTGATAATTAGGGCATAGTAGATAGAGAGATGTTTTCTTCTAATGTAAAACTTCTAATTAGTGTTACAATATGAAATCACCCATGAATTTAACTAAAGATCTTCAGATATTGAGATCAGTTAGTTGAGATGTAACGTTCCATATGTCTACTGTGGGGCCCTTTATTTCGTCGTCGTTTAGATCGAACAATGTCGTTGAAAGGGCTTTCCATTTTAGTGGCCCATGGATCTTACTCCAATTAGATCGTATGAATGTTTGTTATCGCCTATCATCGTATGTTATCATCGACTTTAATCGCGTTAGTCAATAACGGATTTAGATAAGTCGAATAACGAGAATGGACTTTTGAATACATATATTTTGTATGTAAAGCTAATGGAATAGAGAGAAGAAAAACGACGAAGAGTGGAGATGTCTGGTAAGCCAACTCCCATTTAACCAAGCGTTAATCAATATTTATAGTTACACAAAAGTAAGTTACAGACATGTGATGAGTAATGGGATAAGAAATGTACACACACCTATAAAAACAGTCAAGATTGACAACCGAATAAATAAAAAGGTCAGAATGTGACTCAAGTAGAATGAATGAAATGGTTTGTCCGAAAGCTAGAATAAGGTATATGGGCTTAACATAATAACAGACATTACACTACCTTGAGTCGATTCTCTATTTATACAATGTGACAATTACACTCGACTGTTAACGATTAACATTTTCAATCAGTAATGAATTAGTTAACTAAATGCTACATAGAACCTGGCACAAATATGCATTGATTCTAGTTGTCAGATTAGATTATTGCATTAAAAAGTATTGGTTGTAGAAAAGACTTTTTAGCATAGATAAGAGAGAATCGTATAGGAAGATTCCGGAATTTAGATAGTGGTTGGAGGTAGTCAATGGGAAACCCTGGACCCGGGTTTCATGCTACTTGGCACTCGTCAGCAAGGTGTACCCGTAACCTTGAGGGAACCGGTGCTCCCTGGTGGACTCGATCTCGTGTCACCCAGCGTCACAGTCGGAGACGTTACCACTGAGCTACCCGAGTCGTGACTAACCTCCTGTAGGACTGGGATGTAATTACAATTGATTGATCACTGGGTGGTGATCAATGTCTTGCTTGTCTAGTCCTTATTAGTGCAGATCGAATACTATCGATCATGTTTCAATGTGGACCCGGAGTTTCCTGTTGACTACCTCCAACCACCATCTAAATCTCAATATATAGTACCAGCAGTGTCGAGTCACCTAGATTGGTGGCCACATTGCAACATGATCGATAGCATTCGATCTGCACTAATAAACACTAGACAAGCAAGACATTGATCACCACCCAGTGATCAATCAATTGGAAGATTTCGGAACTCAAAATCTAAGGGAAAACAAAGAGTGAATGGAACTTCTCATTTTAGAATGCTTCTTTAACATATTATGCAATAGCTTCATTCATTGGTTAATTTGATCGCTCGAATATCAATCAACTGGCGTTTACCTGTCTACATAGTTTAGTTCAATTACCAATAATATCATGGGCTGATGCCACATCTTATGTTGCGCGTTTCTATCTTTTTTTAGTATACTCCTACGCTAAATAACATCCCCATAGAAGTAGTTGGTGGTTGAGAGTGTATCCCAACCACCTCAGTTGATAAAAACTCACTGATTAGTCCACCGAACTGTAATCCATTCCCTGTGATTAACCTCAGTAGTATACACTTGATAGTCTCAAAATACGCGATAAATTCACTAAAGACACTCATGATCATTTGCTCATCGAACTCTCAGATGCTTTATCTTAGATCATATTGGTCACCTTTGAAATATATATTTATCATTAAAAAAACCTTATATATTTTTCAAATAAAGTTCCAATAATTGTACAATGTTCTTGATACTTCACGGATGGTAAGAGTGATATAATAACTATTATCAGAATGGGTTATGTGGAGATTTTTAGAAATTTCACTGGTTAAAAATCATGAGTCAATTGAAGCTAGAAAACCATGGAAAACCTGGAAGCACTAGATGGCCGTTTCGTCCTAGTATGGGATTCCTCGGCAGTGCGCATCCACGATACCGCCCCCCCCGTGAGATTCGAACCCAGGACTTATCAATCTCGCACCATGTGCCTAACCAACTAAGCCACTGAGACGGAATCCAACGGTGTTCATGTCTAACTTCAGCCAATCCACGAAGTCGCTCCACCGTACACTATTGTCTCCAGTGAGTTCCTATCTCACAACAGACCTGGTTGAACTCCACTGGTAACGACTTCTCTTTCGAACTCCAGGATTGTCTCCTGAAGTCAGTCACTAGTGAGCAGGTGGGATCGTGAGTGCGCACTGCTGAGGAGTCCCATACTAGGACGAAACGGCCGTCCAGTGCTTCCAGGTTTTCCATGGTGTTCTAGGTTCAATTGACTCATGATTTCAACCAGTGATATAATAATTCTCATTTTACAAACAAAATCGAATAAAGTTGCATCAACTGCTTTAGTTCTCTTTCACATATCCACTATTGAACGATCTTGAAATTTTGAGTTGTTTTCTTTAATGGAAAGGCGTGAGATCTGACGTTACATCAATTCAAAACTTTTCTAGGTTGACAACATGTTCTTAATCGTTATAGTTTGGGCTTATTATCCAAAGTTCAGGTTTAGGATCCAGGGTTAGTTTATATGAATCACAACTTTTAACACTAACTATAAACCCTACTCTTAACTATAACTCTGAATATGACTTAATCCCAATCCTAACCCTAATTCGACCTTCAAATCTATCCCCAAACCAAGATTGCAATGAAATACCACTCCATCATATATAGATTCACAATAATTTCATTCTTATATTTACTAATGAATGTTTTTCAACAACTTAATGCCTTGTACGTACTAAATGATATTTCATCCATTAAAACTAACTATAATAAGGTTGATAAAGAACAGGCCAGTTTTCTATTTGAGGCATGTCCTTGGAAATTACTTTCTCCATAGTGATTGATTCATCTGTATGTTTTAGATTTTACTACCACAACTAAAAGAAACATGAGTTTTTCATAAATTTTTTTCGAGTTCCGGTGTAATGAACGAGAACACCAGTGGTGACAACCAAATGTATCTTAAAATCTGTAAACCACACAGTAAATACTTCATTTGTAACATATCCATCATTTGTCTCCGACTTCATTGTTGTTCCTTCGTTTCCATACCAATCATTCTCTTCTCTAATCTTTTCTCAAACTTCTGTTTCTAGGCATTCCACTTTCAATTGATAAGACATACCACTTATATCTATCGACATTAATAGTACACACTACATTAGTACTACTCCAGTTAATAGTAGTCAAAATGATCAAACCTATAAATGAGGTTACCTTTCTGTAAATCTTCATACAGAAAAATATTGTGAAAAACACTTACGACAAAGCAGATGAATGAAACACATACACAAAAGAATAATACTGTGAATGGTTACATAATAAATTTGCTTAGTGTTGTTTTTCTTGTATCTTGGCATTGTTATTTAGGACTGCCATTGGTCAGTCTCTTATTGGAATATGTGCATCCTGTGCGGGGATTGCCTCGATATTGCCTTAATTCACAAAATTTATAAACAAAGATGGATGGTGTCTAGCAGTGGAATCCAGGTCGCACGTTTCGTCTTATCTGGTGCACGTTAGCTGGATGTACATGAACCCCAGAGTTGATGTCCACTCCGGGACTTGAACCCAGCTCTGTTCACTTCAAACGCCATCGCGTTATCCAGGATGATCATATGCCAATAAGAGACTGATCAATTGCAGTCCTTTACATCAATGAGAAGATTCAAATAAATAATACCAAGTGAGTTTAAAACTTCAACCCATTGCACAAATAAATGGCTATTAGGACTCAGTAGCTAAGTGGATAATGCGTTGTCGTTTGAAACGAACGGTACTTGGTTCGAGTCCCAGAGTGAACAACAACTCTGAGATGCAGGTACACCCAGTTTACAAGTGCCAAATAAGACGAAATGTGAGTCAAACTGGATTCCATTGCTAGCCACTATCCATCTTTGCTTAAATGATTACATAATAGTTATCAAAATTAAGTTTGAATATGTTCACTATTCCTATGCAATATGATAACGTAATTAACTTCATTCAGTGATATTATGAACTAATCTATTTTGTTCATTTTCATTATTTCATTAAAACGATTTGGTCTTTTCAATGAATCACTTTGAAATTACAAATGTAACTGTTTTAATTGAATTTAATAGCCAAGGATACAAGTTGTACATTCTCCTGTTGAAGCATCCAATCAAATAACAAGTAAGTCGTTAATTACTCCTTTGGAAATCCGTTTTTTGGGGGGTTAAGTTCTTTTTCCCTGACCCGGATGATTTAATGGTGAAATCTTCATAGTTCTGTTAGACAATATTAAGTAGGGGTTTTATGGAGGTTTTAGAAATTTCACTGATTGAAATCATGAGTCAATTGAAATTTCTAAAATCTTCACAAAACCCCTTCTTATAATAATCATCTACTCACTAGTGATTGACTTCAAGAGATACTCCTGGAGTTCTAGTGAGCAGCCGTTACCAGTGTAGTTCAACCAGGTTTGTTGTAAGAAATCAACTCACTGAAGACAGTGATGTACAGTGGCGCAAATTCGTGGATTGGTTGAAATTAGACACTAACACCGTCGGATGTCGGCTCAGTGGTCTAGTTTTTTAAGCGCCTAGAGCAAGACTGGTTGATCCTCGGTTCGAACCTCGTGGGATGCGGGATCGCGGATGTGCATTGCTGAGGAGTCCCATTCTAGGACGAAACGGCCGCCCAGTGCTTCTATGTTTTCCATAGTGGTCTATCTTCAGTTGACTCATGATTTCAATCAGTGAAATATTAAGTAGCATAGATTTCAAATAGAAGGCTATTCGAATTTATCACCTATTGACTGACAGTTTGTCTTGTCGATACATTAATCTTGTTTGATTATTGATGTCATTGTTTGCATGGTTAGCTTGATTGACGATGTTGTTCAAGAGGACGATGAGACGATTGTAGTTGAAACGTTCATGAAAATCATCCATCTGAGCTACAAGTTTACTCCATTATACTTCATGTCGATGATGTCACTACTGAATATAAATTGTTTCAAATTATAAAATAACTGTATAAATCATCTAGCGGTCTGATCCACAAGACACTGGAGCAACGTTAGGAGATGCAGTTTCATGACAGCTGGTGACCAACAATAGATTGGTACGTCATTTTTTCCCTCAGGATCCTGGAGCCCATGTACACTATTGGTTTGAAATCAGGGTTTTCTAACTCCCCTAGATGGATCCTCCATACCGTCCAACCCGGTTAAAGCGCTGGACAGTTGCTTTTCTTCCCCTCAGTTTTGTATATAACAGTAATGCCGTGAGAAATCTGTGATTGGAACTTCACTGAAAGTGTCTGTATATACGAAGCCATGTGAGAACATTTGAAGAGGAAGAACTGACTCTCTCCATTCTCGGCCGTACTAGGGCATTTTGAGGCGATTAGACTAATGTTCATTTCTTTAACTAATGACCCCAATGACTATGAATACTGACTGAAAAATTTGAAGCCTCTTGGTTTAGAAGCTCTTTTAATTCTCAACGATCAATCAGAAAATGTAGACATTAAACAGAATACGTCCCGTTATTATTCTTCTTCTGATTCGAAAACTCACAGATTTGTAGATATCAATGAAACCATAAGTAAGAAGTTATGATATATACATAATGAGATTATACAATGAAAAACTAAACTAGCATGTACGGTGAGTCAAGAGCTTCACTATCTTTATAGCATTACTTACAATACATAGATTTAATTATAAGTTTTACCCCCTATGTTTATCACCATTTTTCCATGAATACATTTATAGGTGGACCAAATAGAGGAAGAGCATTTTCTGGATCTCCGACAATTTATCAAACTCAAGGACCATACACAAAATCAAAATTAACTTATATGTCTCCTGCTAAAAGATCGTAAGTCAACCTCGGATGCACCTATCATCATGTTGCTTTTCTATTTTACCATGTGATATTTCGATTGAACTATGTTAAAACAGGCTGTAGTTACTCTGTTAACCATCTCCACATTCTCTCCATACTGATAAAAAAACATATACTTGTTTGATAGCGACTAATTACTTTGAGTGGGGGGGAGGTAATTTCAAGAGGTCTGATGAAGTAGCCATGAGTAGTAGAGTTCGATCATATCGGTTATGAGACAGTTACCTACTAATGGATAGAGAGAGAGAGAGCAATCACTTTGTTTAGTGTATAAATCAATAAACCGAACATCCTATCTTATATAAATGACATATCAGAAATTAAAACGAGATTATTGATACTGTTTAGAGTCAATCTTATGCAAACGAAAGATGAATTGAGAAAAGAAAAACTGATCATCTACTAAATTAACTGTTCCAATTAAGAGAAATACTACAAGCTAAAACATTCTACATCTTCATGTGAATGAACACAAACTGGCTGTCAAATACCATGACATATCTTCGCTTATATCATCCAATTCATGTAGATAACTGTGAACACATATTGTATTAGGAACTTGTTAAACTATCCGCCAGATGATATATGAAGAAGATCAGTGAATTGGTAGTTAGCTCAGTCGGCAGTTAATGAACAAGTCAAAATTGACTCAATTCATCAACCGACTGAATACATCATGGACAATTAAAAAATAAAGAACCAGGTCAGAATGAGTGATAAATATACAGAAAATGATGATCAACCATAACTGATCAAAATGAAAGTCGACAGGACTATATGAAGAAATTCGAACAACTTCCTTTTACCTGAAGAATATAATGATGGTGTTGTTGAGGAAGACGATGAGAGTTTCACAATCGAACTAATTAACCATCACTGAAAACGAAACTCCATTTGAACTATTCACTAGATCTACAAATTTTCCTCACCATCTCAGCTTTTCATGTTACCCTGATGATTATTGATAATAGAGGATTACAAAAATTTGTTTTCGTTTCCTAAGTAGACTTGACCATTATCTACACTTTGCCTGATCAGGTTGTCAAGATTTGTGTATGATTTTCTCAATCTTTACTCTTTATGATAAAGAAGTATGTCCTTCTATTGGATTTAAGATAAATCACTACTCTTCATCGGTACATCGATTGTTGTAGTATTCAGTTGAGCTAGTCATCTGATATGGGCATCTTGGATTTGTTTTCCTTTTTCCTCATCGTCACTGTTATATTTCTCTCTTATTAGAACCTAGTTATTCCTATTGCTTAGTATTCTTGGATGCCAATTCACTCGACAAGTCTCCAAATCAGAACACTGTTGAACAGGAAAGAGATTCTATTCCAAATAACAAGGTTAGATGGAAGTAAGAAGCACACTAAGAAAAACATTTATATGAGAAGACTAGGGTGTTCTTCGGGTGTTGGTTAGCTCTGATTGGTTAAGAATTAGCCAATCAGCGTGCAGCAACACAATTGTGCATGGAACGTGCTTTAATCCAATCTATGTTCCACTAACAATTGTGTTCAGAATCGTCAAGGCACAAATTAACAAACTACTGTCTTCCAAATCATTTGTCATCAATGTAACTCATGACAATAAAGTATTGTGTTCCAACTAATTTATAAACGCATAAAAGATATGTGATATGAAAGAATAGTTAAGTAACCAGATTGAGTTAAATTACACAGGTTACTTTGAGTTGATTGACTTTCAAACTCACTTGGAGTAGATTTAGCCAATCAGAATAATCCCAGGACATTTCTTTATTGAGGTTAAGGAACATTCGATAAAAAAGAAAACCTTCGATATGATCTTAAATCATCATCTCATTCAGACCTTTATACGACTACAAATAACTATGTAAACGGATCATATATCTACTTTAACAGCACTCTTCATACCGTTGGCACATAACGTTGACTGTGATTTCAGTGGATATTTTTCTGTTGTACTTCAATTATTGCATGGCATATTACTTTGATACTTCTGATGGATCAAATGGAGTGTTGACTTTGGTTCTCTATCAACTAGCACATTGGAAATAACATGATTCTTCTGCATCTTAATTTCAAACAGAACACAAGAAGTGCTTCAGATTGACTTCTTCGCTTAACTCACAATTGTCTGACTTTTCTTAGGAGTGGTCTCAGAAGCAAAAGTGAATTCCGTTCTTTAACTTTCTAATAATGTGACTCCATAGTGTTTCTTCGTTCATACACCGACATTGATTATATCTGACTGATCTCACGTTCAAAGTTGTTGATGAACGGTTTTTACAACAGTCGGATATATTGAATATTGTTTATTACGTTTGCGCCAATGCAGTTGTTTATAATATGCTTTGTCATCAGCATCCATAGTGGATAATATGTGGGTCCAAATCTTGAACACATCATCTTGGCACTTAGCGGTTCGACAGCCCACTTTAACACAGTCAAGAAATACCTAAATTCTGAAGACGTATATAACCAGTTCTTTTCCAGGGATTCGCAAAAAAAATGATAACCCAAACTGTTCTAAAATGAACTAGGATTTATGACTGTTACACATATGAGTGGCTATCTGGACTCACTTGTTAAGTGGATGACGCATCGGGTGTTTGAAGCAAAAGGGAATGGGTTCAGATTTCAAAGGGAACATCGAATTCGTGATGCAGGTATGTGTAGCTGATGAGTCCCGAACGGGACAAATTCAGGTCCTGGATATCACGACTAGCAACAACCTATCTATTCTATGTATACGTCAAACTTAGAAACATAACACGAAACACATTGTTTGAATCGTTCTCTGTAAATTAGTTTGCTTACTTTTTTTCATGTTTTGCAGACATTTCTGGGGACATTCAAGTTATGACGAGCAATGGTCAAGACAACCAGTTGGTAAGTGATTCATTGTGATTAAAAAAACTGAGGTTCGATCATTCAGTAATGAAGATGTTTGAATTCGACCACTTTCACTTGTTATCATTTTGAATACCGAAATCTTTTGCCATTCACCTATCGGTGACCAGATTATCTTCATTTATAATAAAAATGGTTTTAGTAAAAATTTATCATTTTAATCGTTCGTTAGTGAAATAAAGATCTTTCTATTCCAGACTTTGATTCATGCCGCTACGTGATCAAGATAATTTTTTACTGGATAATGATGTTATCGGTCTAACTTTTCAAAGTAATCATATGTTACTTAACAATGTATATGAGACGTGATATTTAAGTTATTTGCTTAAACCTGTCACCCATTCTGGAGGAGCATAGGCCGTCCATTAGCATTCTCCAATCAACATTGTTTTTTTTAATTTTCCTCTTTTCCGTTTATGCCCAGGATTCCGAGTTAGCACTTGTCTCGTGATTCAGTTTGATGATTTCCTCAATGTATGTCTTATCCACTTCCAACGTCTTTTCCCAATTTTCTCTTCAAATGAAAGTTGGTTTGTTCTCTTCTACAGTAGGTTGTTGCTGATCGTATCCAGTGAATGGACATTGAGTATCTTGTGTAGACAATTGTCTATAAATACTTGGACATTTTTGGTGATGGTTGTAGTGGTCCTCAAACTTTCAGCCCCGTACTGTAGAATTAATTGTTTCGACATTCGTATTGAAGATTGTGACTTTGATATTGGTTGAGTTTTATATGTTCATCAACTGTAGGAATACGGCCATCGCTTCGCCAATCTTCGCCCTTACGTCTGCATCCAATCCTCCTTGTTCATCGATGATACATCATAAACATGTTAAATATTCGACATCTTCTAGAGCTCCTCCACTAAGTGTGATTGGTTTAGTGTTCTCCGTGCAGTTCAGGAATTGATATCTGAATAGTGTACATTAATTTCAATGCATATTGTCAGTGTTATATTCCGACGAGAATAATGAATGGCAACTTTTGGGATTTATTTCTGGATTAATACTACACATATATATTCTTATTGTATAACTATTGAGTAACTGAACTATTCTTATTTGTGTTCCTCTTATCATAAGCTTTATCTTGATTTATAGACTATCATTATACGATTTACCGTTCTTGAGTTATGCCCAGTCTATTCATTACAGTTTCCTACGTTCATAACCACTGTTGACTGAATCTTGTACATATGTGTATTTTCGATTTTATGTTACGATGTGGACTGTTTGGTTTGTATGTAAACCCAGCATGTTTGAAATACTTGATTTATATCTTGGAGGCTGAGATTGGTGTTCTGGACTCTACGGGCAAGGTTAGGCAGGAAGAACGGTCGATAAAGACTTTAGACAGCTCGTACAGGTTTCGCGCGTCATTGATCCGAACAATAATCCAATGTTCTCTAATTAGTTTTGACATTACGTCATACATAGATAGGGGTATAAGGCCCACAAGTTATAACTACGTTGTCTCTGATTTCGCTTTTTGTAACTTGTACAGCGAGAGGTAAACTTTTGATAAGTGCTCCTGAAATGTTTATGAGACTTATAGACATAATGATGTGTTAAACAAAAAACAGGCAACTTGTTTTAATATCTAAATGGCAGGGAACAGGTAGCCCAGATATTCATGCAGGACTCATTGTCAACTCTGTTGAACTAATGCTTCAAAATATAGAATTGTTTAGCCTGAAATATTACTTACTTACTCCAAGCATTTTCCAACTCACTGTGTCATGGGCCTTCCTCTCTAGTTCTATCCATCTGTTGTTCATTCTTCTCATATCTGTTTTCGTTTCTCGGCGTAATGTGTTCTTTGGTCTTCCTCTCATCCTTTGGCCTTGAGGATTCAAAATGAGGGCTTGCCTTGTGACACAGTTGGGTGCTTTCCTCAATATGTGTCCTATCCACTTCCAGCACTTCTTCCTCATTTCTTACTCTACTGGGATCTGGTTTGTTCTCTTCCATAGTAGGTTGTTGTTGATAATGTCTGACCAACGGATCCGAAGTATTTTGCATAGGTAATTGTTAATAAACACTTGTATCTTCTAGATGATTGCTGTCGTAGTTCTCCAAGTTTCTACCCCATACAGTAGAACTGTGTTGACATTTGTATTGCAAATTCTGACCTTGATGTTGGTTGACAGACAGTTGTTTTTGTTAGGTATGCAGAGGAATATGCCAATGATTATCGTGTCAAGTCGAACGGTGTCCTTGGACGTTAAATGTACATTTCCTATTGGTCGATATTTGCTTTAGTTATTTAATATTGTGTAAATGTTGTTTCCTATTTTATGGTACGATGTGGTATGCTTGGTTAGTATATAAATGGAGTATGCCTGAAATATAATGATTCATATCTCAGAGGCTGTGACTTTCGTTCTGGACTCAACTGGCTGGGATAGACAGGGAAGCAGGGCCAATCAGGACACTAGGTCGTTCGTACGTATTTACGTGTCACTGTAACCGATCGATCGATATAACGCTGCTTATCAATAACCTGCAGTCACACACCCGTTACAACAGTTTTGAATTCCAGACGTTCTTCAATTGTAAATATGCTGCTCTTACTTTTCCGATCCACGCCTTCACATCTGCATCAGATTCACCGTTTTCATCAATGACGCTGCCCAAATATGTCAAGGTTTTTACATATTCCAAATCTTATCTGTCAATTGTGATTTGACTGTTGCATGATGTGTTGTATCGAAGAATTTTGCTTTCCCCTTTGTGTATGTTGAGACCTACTGTTGCTGAGGCTGCCGATACACTGGTCGCCTTTATTTGTTGTTGTGTGTGTGATCGAAGTGCCAGGTCATCTTCAAAGTCTAGATCGTCCAGCTGCATCTTAAATGTCCATTGCATCTCGTGTTTCCCTTCAGATGTTGAAGTCTTCACGATTCAGTTGATCACCAGATGAAGGAAAACGGGTGAGAGTAAGCAACCTTGCCTAACACCGGTAGCCTAAAATATAGCTGAAAAAAAACCTACCGACATCATTGATGTCCATTCTTTAAACATGATTATTTCTTTCATATCCATAAAGTTTTTAATGTTTCCTTCTCGTTAGACAACCTCATCATTATCAAAGTGAAATTTCGACAAACAATACAACTAGATGACAAGACTATTTTATTATTATTACAAATCTTAGTTAATAATTTCAAACCTTCGGCTAATACTCAGTTTCTTCAGTTGATGACTCAGTCTCCCTTTATTTCTCCCCTTTCTTCCCTTCTTCCCTCCTTCCTTTCTTTCCTTCCTTCTTTTTTTCCTTTCCCTCCCTTTCGATTTCATTCACCATACTAAGAAACAATGAAAAATTTATCTTCAGCAATTATACTACTCATTTAAGCTCATTTTCAATTCATTGTCAAATGATGACAACAATTCGAAAAATATCAAATATTTTAATCATTGAATTTCCGCTTATTTGAATTTATCTTATTATCTGAATGATTGTTTAAAACTACGTTTAATGTTATTGTCAATGTCTATTCAATTGTAATAACAATTAAATAAAAGTTCAACATTGTACTATTGTGATGTAAGCTACTTATGCCTAAATAAGTAGTATATAATGAGGGCCCTCCCGGTCTTCTACATTATACGGATATTTAATGTACTTAAATAAATAGTTGCTCTGGTTGTCAGAAGGGGCATCGGCCTCGTGACATCCGAAGGAACTCGGCTTTCATAATGAGACGTCATAACTCTTCTAAATGAAGACCGTCTGACTCCCAGGGCAGAGTTTAAAAGATTCGAATAATTTTTTTCTGGTCAGAGTTTTTTTAGCGAGTTAGTTTTTTACGGAATGGAGTCGCTAATCCCATGCCCAACCCTCCTCCTTTATCCGGGCTTGGGATCAGCAGTAGCCCCCTGAGGGACTACAGGTGGAGTTAGTATGTAATGATGGTCAGGAATAAAATGTATTTCAGTAAAAAATCGATAAGAAAAAGACAGAAACTGAAAGTAATTGGTATGAAAATGCACGAACAATGAAATCTGAGACAATGAATTGATATTTGCAAAAGAAACAGTCAAGTTTGAAACAGCCGATTGATATTTTGCAAATTAACGATTTACTGTATGGTTCTCAAATTTTATTGAAATGTTCACTAGTAGGATTCGGTCAGCTTTAATCACTGTACAGTGTTGTTCTGTACTACTGAGTAGAATAGGACCTTGAGAATGGATAAGATTACTAGTGCTCTCAAAACTTTCCGATTTATCTTACTGTTGATGAGCGTGAATTTAACACGAAATTCAGATCCTGGAGTTTCAAACAGTCGCCTTTCATGATCTCGAATCAGGATGTATGTTTGGAATCGTTTTAAAACTATAGAAAACGATAAGATTATGTGAATAAATTTCAAAAGTTTGTTTCCTGTTTTTATACATTTTAGCTGATGGACCTACAGTGGATCGATCCTCGTGTACTAGTCCAGTACAAACACATTCTGGTCGTTTACTTCGATCACCAGTTAGTCCACCGTCTAGAGGATATATTCGACGTCCATCAGAAATGATTGATGGAGGTAGTCAATCGGATACAGCGATTATGGCTGGTTTTAGTAGTCGGGTATGTTATCCCGGTACTTCATATTCTGCACATGATCAACCTGTTAGACGGCCATATAGAGCCATGCGTGGTAAAACTTCTGAAACTACGAAAAGAAATAGACCTACACAAGTCCCAGTATATCGAAGTCCAGAAGATCACAAACCTCAAAGACAAAAACAACCAATTTCAAGTGGTTTAAGTATGATAATATCTTGATTTCGTTAATTCTCATTATCAGTTGTAATCGTGATGAATAAATAGTTCCCCATTTGATTTTAGTTTTCGCAATAAGAATCTTTTATCCTTTCAATGAAAGCACCGTATTAAATATTCACAAAATCGATAATGTCTATTCGAATACTTTGAGGAGTTTTACTGTCATGCCTTCAAACCCGTTGTTCATTATCACGTGCCAGGTCACCAGTCAGAATCCTTTTTCTAATTCGGTTTGTTATTTACTGTATATGGCTTAGTATCTCTGATTTGGTCAGTTACACTATCAATCAGCAACACTATTGGCATTGAGCCGGCTATTAGGTCCTTATTGATCTACTATTCACAAGCTCCTTTCTATACCCCTGACCTGAGTCCAGGAGTCGTAACTAACCTCTAATATCCTTATATTTCAAACAGACATTGTTTATATACACTCGAATTGGACCACATTATATCATAAGGTGAAAAATAACAAATGTACAAAAACAAACCAGGAGTCGTTGTGATTAGGAAAGACTGTAAGTAATCCACTGCCAACAAAGTAGGAATAGTAAGTTGCACAACAATGGTTATTGCGTCAATTCTTCAAAACGTCTTTATCATAACATGCTTAATTAATTAATATAGATAGCCATCTTAATGAAAGTCAGGCATGAGATGATTTTCTTAAACTTTTAGCTGATTGAGGTTCTTGCGACAAGTTTTTAGTTATTTTGAATAGTGTCTGAATTCACCTTCTATTAGTTACTACTGGATTGTTATCGTAGTAATTTTTGATTTGACAGAGAAATGAAAAACGCTCATTTCTACTTTAGTTAATTACAGATGATTTTCTCCAGATGAGTTCTCTAAGATCATGAATCGATCGTTAAAAACCTAGAAGCACTGGACTTACGTATTGTACTAGTATGCGACCCCTCAGCAGTGTACAAACACTATCGTGCACTCAAGACACGAACTATGGACCTTCAGTCTCTCGCGTAAACGCTTAAACTCTAGACCACTGAGCAGACAACCAACGGTATTGTCACCTCACTTCAATCAATCCACGAATTCCCACAACGGTATTCTATTTTCCTCAATGGGTAACTGCTTCACATCTGACACGGATTAGGTTCACTGGTCATGGCTTTTCACTGGTACTTAGAAGATTTTCTCTAGCCTCTGGTGACCACATGATAACTATCAGTATAAAGTTATGGTGATTGTTGACTTTAACTGAAATCAAGGATTGATTAAAATTATGCATAAAGACTGTTGGATGCCAGCTCAGTGATCCCGCGAGCGGGATCGTGGATGAGCACTACTGAGAAGTCTCACAATAGGACGAAACGGCTGTCCATTTCTTCCAGGTTTTCAATGGTGGTCTATCATCAATCAGTTCATGATCTCAATCAAAAGCTTAATGATCTCCACAACCCTATACTGATAATTACCATGTGCTCACCAGTGACTAGCTTCATGAAGGAATTCTTGGAGTTCTAGTGAGAATCCGTGACTAGTGGAACTAATCCATATCGGATAGAGGCAGGTATCTACCTCAGCACAATAGAAGATGGTTGCGCAATTTCGTAGATTGGTTGGTGCTAGACACTAATACCATTGGATGCGGGCCAGCCCGATGGAGGTAGGCAACCACGCGATCTCACTCGCAGGTTCGTGGATGCGCACTGCTGAGGAGTTCCACAATAGTATGGAACTATTCAGTAGTATATTTTCACAACCGCACAAGTGATCGAATCCAGGACCCTCAAATTCTTTTTTTGATTAAAAAACGAACTTCACACCTAAACTAGTCTTCTCATGTCATTTATTACAGAACATATACCGGATAATGCTTTAGTTGTGTTAAGCAGAATATCAGCATCCACTCATATATGGTATCGTCCTGAAATGTCACGGAATGACGGTAAGTATGAATGAGAAATTTAGAAAACTTTCTTTTATAACTAAATCACTTTTCTCAAATTTGTCCAAGTTATAATATAAACTTCTTAACTGTTCAAATCATGTCGAAAGAAAAGGCAGTCAGAAGAATAAATCACTATGTATAATAACATAAACATCAATATAGTACAATTTATTTGGATGGGGAAATGCTAAATCTTCAATGATAATGATATCAAGTGTTTGCATCAGGAACTGATCTCAAATGTTATTTATTTATTTATCTGAGCACGTAAATAATGGTACAATCGAGTGCCGAATACATATGCTCTACACAAGTCAATGATTTATGTGGGCTGTGATACTGCCTGGGTTCCCAAACCAAAGCAGGTGGTTCTCTTAAGGGCCACTGTCAGAGCCTTCGACCTTAAGGTTTGATCCGCAAGGCACCAGAGCAACGAAGAAGATTCAGTCACATGGTAGTCGGTGACCAACAGTTGGTTCATACGTCATTTGTTCTTTCAGGATCCTGAAGCGCATGTGCACCATTTGTTTAAAATGACGGTTTTCTAACTCCTCTAGGTGGACCCTCTGCATCCACCAACTCGTTTAAAGCACTGAACATTCGCTTTATATCCTCCCAGTTTTTAAAACAACACCCGTAGTACTATAAGGAAGTGAGTAGGTCTTCATTGGCAGTGGTTGTATATGCGTGAGCATGTGAGAGCATTTAGTGAAGGCGAGCTGACTCATCTCACTCTCGGTCGTACCTGGGCATTTAAAGGCAACCGTACCACGGCAAATTGAATAACCATTGAAGAAAATTATAAAGCAATAAATGGTTGTTTCCTCAGTAGTAAAGGTCTACGACCTCTGTAAACAGAATCGAATCCAGAACTTTCCATCCTGATAGTGAGATGTTCAGTGCTTCAGATTGTGGTGTAAATATGACACTGGATAATCTTCACAAAATACTTACACTTATTTACCAAATTTGTTCATTCGTTGGTTATTTATAAGTAATCTATGTGAAGTATATCGATAGATATATCGATTTCCCGACCGTTACTTAATCATTAGGAGTGTTCTTTTGATAAACATTGAACGGAATACAGATTGTAGAAAAGCTAATGTAATATTTACTTCAAAGATTGATTTGCGTAAGAAAACATGAGAATATTTTCAGTATTCTTTGTGACCTAGTTACTCAAGGACCTTCAGAAATTTCTACTGAATCGGCAACAAAATCATTGTCACATTTAAAATAAGGAAAATACAATCAGTTATCGTCTAGATCTTTGATGAATGTAATTGAATACAAAATTACATTATCTCTTACTAGAATCTCCAAACCATACATTAAATACTTCATTTGTAAAATGTCAATCAATCGACTAATACTTTATTGTTCCTTCGCTTCCACACCGATCATTCTCTGTTCTCGTTCTATTTTCTTCGATCTTCTTAGCCTTCTACCTCCAGACATTTCATTTTCTATGGATGATATATACCAGTTGTATCTGTCGACATCAGTAGCACACACCACAATTGCATTCATATCACGAATCGACTGAAGTTGGAAATGTATACCACTAAATTTCAAGTAGGTAGTCAAGATGATCCGTACTCAGGACGAGCAATGAAAGTCAACTTCAAACCAAATAATTCAACATTCTTTTTAGAAAAGAAGTCCTGTTATTGTGTATAAAGTTTAACTATAGTTTGATTTTCACTGAATATGTTTTGTGCTGATAGTTCATATAAACTGTATGTGACATTTATCACCTACTGATATCAGTTGGAGTAGGACTTTAAATTATGAATTTCGTGCATAGCATTGCCATACTGACTTTTTCTGTTAATAATATCAGATAATAGTTGTGATGTATTCCGAATTGTAGTAAGCAGTGTGTAATACCGAATGCTAACCCATTAATTAAATGGTTAGATGTTCGATACAAGACATATAGATGATGGTTTTGGCTTTTAGTATGACTTTAAGTTCATACTGAAGACGATTTCTGTGATAGGAGAAAACTGCTATACAATTTACATCACTTTTTGTTGATAACCTCACTGATAATGACTGATATAGAAAAATACTAACAAATCTCTTCTATATGATTTCATTAGTCATATATTCAATTTATTGTGTTACAGCAATGGACTTAATCAGATCAGAAGCTCCTGGAACATTTGTAGTTCGTAATAGTGGAAGCTTTCCACATTCATTTGGATTGGTAGTTAAAGTTCAAAGACATCATACTCATGGTTAGTTTATTATTTTAAATTATTCGCTAAATTATAACCAAAATGATTTTTATTCATCGATTGAGAAAACTGGTTAGAAATCGCAGAGTCTAAATTTTGATCAAGATAGTGTAGCGTGGCGTCAAGTTGCAATTGACTATGATCACTACTACAAGAAAATTGTACACCAAATATCAGAAGGCGATTGAAGGTTGTAGCAATAGATATTTGTTGGTGATCTCGTGGTATCGAAAGAATACTGAGATCTTACCAAAGGAGTACAAGCGGATTTACTGAACAAACGGAAGTTTGTGCGAGGTCATAACCAACGGAAGGAAGAATGGAAGAATAATGGATGTCTCTAGTACAGTTAAACAAACAAGTAGAGTAAAACAATCACTGGTACAATTGATTATAATAATAATCGTTTCCATTAAACCAATCGCGTTCTCTTGATTAAAGTAGGTCACTACAATACAAAACTGAGACAAACACACTAACTTGTGCAATGAGCTGAAGTGTAAATCCATTCTGTATTGTTTGTTTGAATCTTCTCATTGATGTTCAGGACTACAATTAATCAGACTCTTATTGCAAGATGTGAATCTTTTGTGGATTGCCTCGATATTGCCTTAATTTACAAGCATTATAAGCAAAGATGGATGGATAGTGGCTAGCAGTGGAATACAGGACGTGTGTTTCGTTCTGTTCGAGACTCGTCAGTTGTATGTACCTTAATCCCGGAATTAATGTTCACTTCGAGAACCAAACTTATTATCATCCGCTTTAAAAGCCATCACGCTATACGCTTAGCTAGTGAGTCCTGATGGACTGTAAAAGAAACACATATTATTAACATAAATGTTTCAATGCAGTCCGTCTAGAAATTCTCCTCTATTCAGAATTAGAAAGTTTCTACATACGAATGTGCCATGTAGATTGTTATCATCGATGACATATCACATCTCCTCATTGGTATCTTAAGTTATGTGTTAATGAATGTGTCCACTTTGTCCAATGTGATGTTTTTCTCGCTAACGGTGCAATTCATTGAATAGATGATATCTTCATGTGTCTTCATTCACTGTTATCTTACTTGCTTTGATTTCAAAGTGTTTCACAATGTTATTCTTTATGAATGGTAGAAAATGGTATGTTGAATCGCTAGACACTTTTTAATCAGATTGCTAGAGTAGCTATTCTAATGAAGCCAAGAAGAAAATGACTGTTTCTTATATATTTCTTATACTAAACGTTTGAAGATGATCGATAGGAAACTGTGGATTGAGGCTTCGTGCTATTTGACACTCGTCAGTGGGGTTTATATGTAATCTTGAGAGAACTGATGCTCCTAGGGGAACTTGTGTGATCGAGCTTCACAGTTTGAGTTGTCACTAAGTTACCTGGGCAGCAAGCCACCTTATTATGATAATTAGGAGTATTTGAATTATAGTGCAAACTAGGAATCCCAGAAATAACGCAATCGGATCAAGAAGTACTAGATAAGCATAAACCAATGTACTGTATTTGGAATTCGAAATCAAGCAGTCATGAAGTACAAAGGAATCGCTAGTCCATACAAACACCATACTTATGTAAGACTGAAATGCTTGGAGTTAGTTAATGACCAAGTGGCTCATACTTATCCAGTACCTCGCAAAAGATTGGACGAACCTAAGTAACATAAAGTTATTATACCGACTGAATGACTTGCAAATCATGGGTTCGAGACAATAGGTGCGGGTTGGTGAATGTATATCATTAATGGGTTTCGAGTTAGAACGAAACAGTTGTATAGTACCTTCTACTCTCTATTGGTTCACCTAAATACTCATTTAAGTAATTAATAATCAACATTGTTTCTATAAGATAGACATATTTGAATTCTAAGAGGAAAATACTTACACTATATCCACTACTGACTTATTTCGAGAGTGAGTCCCCTAAGTCTTAAGGTGAAAGTCGTAACCAATGGAAGATCGACCATGGTGAGTATGAACTAATTACTCATCAGTGGTATCGAAAGTTGTCTACACAATATAACAGGTTGATTGAAGTTAAACATGTAAATTATTGAATGTTGTCTCATTTATTTAATGCTTAAACACTCACTGCCGAACTGATAGTCTTGCGTAGTTGATCAATGTTGGAGCATACCATACTAGGTCAACATAGTTGTTCAGTGTTCCCTAGTTTTCAGTAATAATATATTGGTTAATATGTTTCATTAGTCTTACTCTATTTTCTTACTATTTCAAACAGGTGAAGAATCCGATTCTATACGACATTATTTAATTGAAGGTTTACAATCTACAACATCAGCTGTATATCATGCAATTGGTGTATCTGGTACATTATTACCTCCATCTAATATTCCAATGGATTCATCAGCTTTAAGTGTAATCCATGAACCTGTTCGACTTCGTGGATCTTCAAATGAACCAATATTTACTAATTTAGTTAGTTTATTATATGAACATACAATTCAACCATTAGCATTACCATGTATATTAAGATTACCTTTTAAATTACCTACTTCAATCAATAGTCTTCCTTCATTAATAGTATTAACAAGAAATTCACAGTCTGATCATATATCACCAACTTCAATAGTACCAAAATATTCTTCACAAGTTGGATCTTATCATACAGGTATGTTTACTCATTAATATCAATGGTTATATAATTAATAGAAAAGGGTTTTGTGAAGATTGTAGTAATTTAATAGTTAAGTTCATGAGTCATGTGAAGCTAGATCATCATGGGAACCTGAAAGCAATGGACGGCCGACTCGTTCTAGTATGCGACTTCTCAGGAGTGCACGTCCATGATCCCGCCTCGTGAGATATGCTCACTAGTGACTGGCTTCAAGAGGTATTTCCCAAAGTTTTAGTGAGAGGCAGTGACCATTGAAGTTCGACCAGGTCTGTTGTGAAATAGTATCTCAATGATGACAATGGTGGATATGTCACTCAATTTCGTGGATTAGTTGAAGTTAGACGTTAACACCGTTGGATGCCGGTCAGCTCAGTGGTCTGAGGGTTAAGCGCTCGTGAGCGAGACTGATAGGTCCTGGGTCCGATTCTCGCGAGGCGGGACCGTGCTTAGGAGTCCCATACTATGACGAAACGGCCGTCCAGTGATTCCAGGTTTTCCATAGGTTCATGAATTCAACTATTAAAAAGCTAATTAATTTCGATCCTTTTTAACATCAACCATGGAAATATTCAAACTCTTACAACTGAATTATAATAAGGTGTATCATTCAAGACATTTTCCTGATCAATACTAGTAGTTCTTTAGTAGTTGTGTTTCCATTAAAACGCATCAATATTCTCTATAATCATGTTCAGTCTTGTGAAAAAGGTTTCATGAAGACTGAAAAGATGAATTGCTAACTAACTTCAGACCTATTATAAGTCAAGAAGCACTGAACAACTCCTCAGTATTGACTTGTGATTCTATCTGGGAAAAACTTTCAGAACTAATTATGCCATGATGATTTTAATAGGTAAAGACTAGTTTAGTGGCCCGAGATCTGACTTCAAATAGATTGTTGGCTGATTTCTATCGAAATATAAATGCCAGCAAACCTCGTATAAAATCATTGACTTAACTCGTGGTAGTGATTAACGGAATTAATGAACTCAGATACGAGAATGAAGTTTGAATACGTATACTTCATACACTCAGTGATTCGGATAGATAATCGGAGAAACGAAGCGAGGGAAGCGAAGAGGAGAGAGCGAAGCAAAATGGAATGATGCGCAGTGGAGAAGGCATGTGATGCAACTCCGTTTACCCTATCGTGAAACAAATATTTATAGTCAAACAAAAGTAAATTTTTGATTGAGATCATGAACCGATTGGTATTAGACCACCTCTGGAGACTTGGAAGCACTGGACGGCCGATTCGTTCTATTGTGGGACTTCTCAGCAGTGCACATCCACGACCCCGCTCGCAGGATTCAAACCCAGGGCCCTCGGTCTCGCGCGCGAATGCTTAACCTACTGGACTACTGAGCCGGCATCCAATGGTGATAGTGTCTAACATCAACCAATCCACGAAATAAGCTACAGACACATGATGAATAGGGTAAGTATTGAATAAACATACATTCAAATAAAAACAGTCAGGGTTAATAGGCGATTAAGTGATAAGGTAAAAATGTGGCTTGAGAAGAATGGATAGATTGATTTGTGCAGAGACTAGAATAACCTATGCAGGTTTGACATAATACCATCCCTTACACTAGTGATCAGTATTTTTAGCTCCAGTTAATCCCTCTATGTTACTTGATCATCATTTAATGGTATTGATAATATTTGTCACAATCACTGAAATAACTGAATTTTATCAGTCATAACTTTGAAAAGCTAGTTATGAATTTCTAGTCATTATGAACATGGTTAACTGAAGTTTGTGCACACATATCGACTTGTTGGGAGTATTGTAAAATAACAAAGAAATCAGTCGTTGTTTCTTAATTTTGCAAGTCATAAACAATTCAATATAATTGAAATCATGAACCGATCTATGGTAGACCACCATGGAAAATCTGGAAGCACTGGATTGCCGTTTTGTCCTAGTATGGGACTCCTCATCAGTAGTCATTCACGATCTCGTATGCGCTACGCGAACCCAGGACCTTCGGTCCCACGCGTGAATGCCTAACCTATAGACAACTGATCTAGTATTCATCGTTCCCAATGTCTAACTTCAATCAATCCAGGATATTGTATTGTTTTCGCTAAGTAACTGCCTCACACTTAGTACGGCCGAACTCCACTACTGAGAAATCCCATGCTAAGAATAAACGGCGGTCTAGTGCTTCCAGGTTCCCAATGGTCTACTAACATTCGTCGTTTCATGATCTCAAATAAAGCTCAACAATCTCCACAATCCTATACTGATGATTCAATATAATTAGTAAGCAGTTAGCAATAGAATCCAGCAAACACATCGTTTTCTTCTATTAATGACTTATTAACTGGATGTGGTTATGTGCACATTGGCACTCTATTCCTACACCTTTCACTTCAAACGCCTGACGTGTTATTCACTGAGCTACTTAGTGTACTTTTACTCAAATGAAAACAATCTTTTATTTTCCAAATGGAGCACATGAGATCACGTAGACTGCTTAGTCTCAAGTAGATTGATTAGATACAACATCTCATCTCTCTTCATTACACAACGAATTAAGTTCGTACAAATTTACTAGAATCAATTAGCCTGTAGTGGCTGTGCTTCGTTGACCAATCACCCTCATAACCGTTACCATATAATCCTCAACGGTGTTTGAAATCAGAAGGCAAAGAGATGCAGCGACTACAGTTTTATTAGCAGATAACTCAGACCACAGAGCAGAGAGGCAAATGAATGAGTCAGCGAACCGACAGAGCAGTGTGTAAATGTACATGTAAATATATAGAGAAATGAATGAGTCATCGAATCAATTAAGGCGTTAATAATAAAGCCAGCAGAATGAATATATGTGTAGGCGTTAAGCAATGTTCAAGCATACATATTTCATACAACCACAACAATAATAAAGGTACAATAAGTTGTTATAGTACAGACGACTTTGTCCGCTAAATAAGTTAACAAAAGGGCTTAACTGAGTTAAATGAGAACAAACTCAATTGCACGTGAGGTGCTATAAGTCAATATTAGTAATTTTACAGCCAGTAGGAAACATTCAAACAAACGAATTGAGATGCACCCCGTTCCACATTTTTAATCCGGTTAATTCATGTTTAAACAACAGAGACATTATCAATGTGCACATGTTTGAAACCTACTAGTTAAGATCTTTCTCTGGAAGGTCTGAGTCATTTTTATTTATGATCACTGATGTCGATTTCTCGCTGGTTTTAATTGAATCCATAAATGATGTCACTCAGATATGAAATTTGTCCTCGAGTTATGTTAGTTTATCTAAATCTATATCTGACAGTAATTCTTTTTGTATATATATAGGCTGTGAAAGTCCTCATGACTTTCATAGAACGGACAGATCCCAAGGAGTTTCAGTACGACATCCTACAGAATCTGTACCTACTGACTTAGGTTCATATGAAATGGAATCATCATATAATCCAATACAACAACACCAACAATCAGGAACACATCCCTCACAACCAAGTATACATCATTCAACTAGACAAGATTCTTTTCTTACACCGTTTAGCGGTTCCAAATCTAGATCGAATAGATCTCCTCCTGCTGTATACGAAGGTGAACTAGGACCGATAGGTCCTCCAGATTCAGGAAGAAGTGAGTATATTTAGTTTAATATTTAACAAATAACAATTAGTCTATTGTACAGTTTATTTCCAATATCTTCTACAATCAAACAATTATCAGTAGTACTAATAGTAGTATGAGTATACAATTAAAATAATCGTTTGTGTTTACACAGTTCTTTTTGGAAGTGTTTTTATTATTGAATGTTTCCATGATACACTCCTCTATCTTCCTTCCCTCTGAACATGGTGGAATAGAAATAAATGTCATCGACAATCTTGACCATCTGTTATTATTGTTGATGTGACAGTGACTGCGTTTTTTTTCGTATAAAAAAGAATGTTTACAAAGCGAAGAAATAGATTTTCTATCATGTAAACCCGAGTATTAGCATTTCAAAACGTTTTGTTTCTACGATCAATTGTCCGATAAGCAAAGATGGATAGTGGCTAGCAGTAGAATCCAGGATGAGCGCTTCACCCTATTTGGTACTCGTCAACTGGATGTACCTTCATCTTAGAGTTGATGTTAACTCTGGGACTCGAACTCAGAACTGTGAATTTGAACTTTACCCCGTTGCACAAGCAACTGGCTATCAGTACTCAGTAGCTATGTGGATAAAGCGATGTCGTATGAAGCGAACAGTACTAGGTTGGAGTCCCAGAGATACTATCAACTGTGAGATGCAGGTACATCCAGCTGACAAGTACCTGCATCCCGGATTCCATTACTATCCATGATTCATCTTTTCTTAAAAAACTTGTGACTTAAGGCTATATCCAGGCGCATATGCCAACTAGAGATTGATTAATTTCAGTCCTACATAACAATACCAAGTGAATATAAATTGTCTTACTTTATATATGTGATAAGTCTACTACTCAAACACTTGATAATGACTTCGTAATCGCTCCTTGGATCCGAAGAATTCCCCGACATAAACATTTTGAATAGGAAAGAAAGAACACAATATATATAGAAGCTTTGTTTGAAGGTTAATCAATGTACAAGAAACATGTGTCTGAATAGGTTGATTGGTAACTTTTAATCTCTGGAAAGTTCTGGAGACATCCCAAGTTTGGTAACAGTAATTCATCAGCTAGTCAGAGCATAACATATAGCCCGAATTTTCTAGAAGTTTCTAATGCATATGGTGACTGAATGAAAGATTTCTGAAGATATTGTTGAGAAATTATTACATTGAGTGGAGTATATCATTTGGTCATTAATTTGAGTAAACATTTGGATAATCTAAACAAACTCCAGATTTTAGTAATTATCACTAGTGTCTTTCTCTGACATGGATTCCAAGAAGGTCTAGTCAAATACAGTAAGAAGTAGAACTTTGTTGATATCAAAAATAAAATGTATATCACAAGCAACATCGAATTGTGAATCTCTGGTACATAAGGGATTCATTTGCAAAAGAACCTGAATGGTTTCGGGTAGAATTCCGTTTGTGAGAGAGGTTCTTTCGCCTTCACTCATGAAATACCTTCATATAAGTCGACTAACGTCTCCAACTGTTGATCTTGGTTATCGTGATAATCCCGAATAGGTAACCCGCATTTAGCAGCTTAATCCAGTTCAATAATCAATTACACCATGTACGGACCTCCTGTTTAAGTTTAGCCTGGCCTGGTTTTCTTCTACTTTACCCCTATTTCCTCCAGTATTGCACCATGAGGGTATAATTAGCTGAATATATGGATCATATGTCCTAAGGATCTCTGTTGAATAAGATTCATAGTCTCATCAATAGACTTTTCATCCCAACTGCGAGATTCTTTAATTAACACGACAAACATGTGTCTAGTACTACTTGTTATACACAAATCCTCAAAGTCTATCAATTTGTAGTTGAAATGAAATCTTCACGAAACTTTAATAATTAAAGAATTCCAGGAAAAAAAGTATCGTAACACCCTACAAATGAATTCATCATAACAGTTACTGAATAAACCAATCAGGAAATTCGTCATTCTCCCTTTCACTCAAAGTAAATGTAAACTTCAAAGCCATTTACTTTTTATATTCATTTGATGTTGTTTACTTGAATCTTCCCACTGTTATTTACGACTGCAACTGATCAGTCTCTTGTTGGCATATGTGCATCCTATGCGTCACAAGCTTTATAAGCAAATATGGATGGTGGATAGCAGTGGAATCCAGGATGCACGCTTCGTTCTATTTGGGACTACACCACGGAGTTGATGTTCACTCTGAGACTCAAACCCAGAACCCTATCAGGACTCAGTAGCTAAGTGGATAACTCGATAACGTTTGAAGAGAGCGGTACTGGGTTCGGGTCCCAAAGTAAACACCAACTTTGGTATGCAGGTACATCCAGTCGATGAGTTGCAAACAGGACGAAATCCGCATTCTGGATTCCACTGCTAGCCACTATCCATTTTTGCTTATAAAGCACTTACATTCTGAAAACATTGAATTTTCATTTTTTTTTTAGTTTTTCAAGAACTGTCTTATTATCCTTCATTTCCATGATGATTAAAGATAACATATTGATGATACCATTAGGTGTAAAAATTGAGGAGTTTGGTTTAAATCCTAATTCACGTATCAGTGTTACCATGAAATTACAACCATTCTTCATCACTAGTGTGTATTAACTTATACAAAAATTAGTGGCTATCTGCATTCAGTAACTTAAATGATAACACGTTAGACATCTGAAACGAAAGGTATAAGGTTCGAGTTTCGATGTAAAAACTGACCTAGATACATCTAAATGATGTGCTGTAAATAAGACAAAACTATGCAGGTCCTAGATTTACCTACTAGCCCCCATGTATCTTTACTTGAAATAGCGATAATGAAGCAATCAAATCAACTGATCAGAACTCAATCCTTATAATCAAGAATGATATTAATCTGATATTGATCAGCCTATGCTCACTGGTGACTCGCTTCAAGAGTTATATCCTGGAGTTCTAGTGAGAAGTAGTAACCAGTGGAGTCCAACCAGGTCTGTTGTGAGATAGTAACTCACTGAAGACAATGGTGGATGTGTTGCTCAATTTCGTAGATTAGTTGAAGTTAGACATTAACACCGTCAGATGCTGGCCCAATGGTCTAGTGATTAAGAGTTCGCGGGGGAGACTGATGGGTCCTGGGTTCGAATCCCGCAGTGGGCGAGGTCGTGGATGCGCGCTCCTGAGCAGTCCCGCAGTAGGACGAAACCACTGTCTAGTGCTTCCAGGTTCCCCATAGTGGTCTAGCTTCAACTGACTCATGATCTTAACCATTGAAATTACTATAATATCCACAAAACCCATCTGACTTAGAAATATATAATAAGATGTTCGTTAAGACTATAACTTATGGACGAACCAATTAGGTGTATAAGATAACAGGTCTCGGAATTTGGCGCGAAATTCATTCATCCGTTTGGGTAAACAGAGTTTTAGCATTATAGATGATGTCAATTCGTAGTGCAAATTTAACCTTAACCATCAACTGTAAATCAGAATCGTAATTTCTCACATTAATTTATAACCATCATTTGGTCCTATTCATTAGGTGGACACTCTCAAAGTCAGTTTAGTGTCCCTCAAAGGTCGTCTCATCAACTATTCTTTATTGATATTTTCACATGTTTAATAATTACTACTGAATATGACTATTTTATCCAATTTGAAGAACCTGAAATCTACTTTTTTTGTATTTTTTGGGGGGGGGGTATTTTACACAGCATTCACATCGATCTATTTAGGAAGTATTGACACTGAGAATCTTACAGGTTCATCAGCAATTCGTAAAGCAGTTGATGTCCTTTTAGAAAATGCAGCTCAGGTAAAGTTTATTTCTTATAATTACTATGTCATTTATTATTATTAATAATGACTTTATTCAACATTATATGCTTGGTACAAGATAGAATTCTAGCGAGTTTCCATTCCGTATTTCTTGATTGATCTTGACTAGATAAGTATTGAGTGATCACCGATTAGATGTAAGCAGTTCAGGAATCAACATCTGAATACTGTTCATTCTTTTCAATCTTTATTGACAGCCATCATGATGTTTGTGATTGGGCTCTTTTGTTAATTTGTACACCGAAAAGTTGTACACTTTCTAGAAACTCACCTGAATAGTTTATGTGATTAATAAACGTATTGATGTATCGAAACAAACATGAAAAGGAAGTTAACTTGCTGAAATATCTAGATGACAGGAACAGGTAGTCCAGATATTCAAGTATTCAGTCAGCTACAATGTACGACCGGGCACATTTATACAACGATCTAAATTGTCATACCTCATTAGCAAAACAAGATGAACACCGGATTCATAGAAGTAGTTAATTCAGTGATGGTGATATATAAAAGAAAGATTGTGTATAAGAACATAGTACAGGAAGAAAGAATTAGTTCGTAGAAATAAAGGTATAAAGCAACTTTAATCTCACGATTTAAGGGAAGACAAATAATATATACACCTACGTCATTGTAAACGATTCTGAGCCATGTCATACAAAATCTTCAACCATTGGTTACGATGGTCATGCGGATCCCAACCGAGTAGTCTTCATCTACCAACGTGGCTCAAGCAATAAGTTAGTGACTTTATGGACTGGTGCCACGTTTTGGTTTGGCTACCCCTAACTTTTATCCAACCATCCCCAATACTAGTCAGCATTGTGCGTCGTGATAATTGTGTTCAGGCGTATGCAACACTTGGCCCAACCATTTCATTCTGGAATACCTGTTTGGACTCCGACCATGCTCTGATACGGGAACACATCTGCTTGCGCCTTACTGGACGCAAAAATGTCACACTAAAATGACCCATTAGTATTGAATTGAATAATGAGAAAACCAAAAGTATGTTCCAGGAACAACTGAGATCACACTTAGGCAGTCCTGAAAACGAGATTGACCCAGATGTTGCTTGGAAAGATATACAAACAGCTGTGGAAACAAAAGTGACATATGTTAGTGATTTAAACCAAAGAGTTACAAAAAACCAATGGATTTCTTCTACGTCTATTGCACTGTTGGATTCTTGTAAACTCATCCCATCAGGCTCTGAACACGATGAAGAGAGAAAACAATTCAGATCTAGGTTAACCAAAAGTCTAAGGAACGACCGTGAGCAGTAATGAACAACGAAAGTAAAAGAGATGGAAACGGCAGTGGCTGTAGGTAGGTAACGCAAAAAAGCTCTACAGACTACTAAAAGAAACTGGAATTAATAATTTAAGTGTAAGTGAGACTATTTCGGAAAGAGACGAGACTCTTATCTACTCCCAGTCCAGTATCTTCTGTTATTATTACTGACATTGCTACTACTTCCTCGATGCTAGGAGTTATTTCTATACTTCTTTTGATATACTTACTCGATACAGGGACTTGAACTAATGCAGATTTGTATCAATTTCATATAACTAATTGACTAGATAAAGATGATCATGAACTTATGATAACTGATTATAATCAATAGGAAGAAGTAAGATTCAGATTTAGAGTTTAAAGTTAGGGTTTAGGAACTAGAGTTAAAGTTTTCATCACGAACTGACAGTAGCAAATTTAACAATATGGATGAATGGATCTCGTTACGGAATCCAAGACCTAATATCTTAAGTCTGATTGATTCGTTCACAAATTATGATCTTGTCAGTAATTAAACAATCTTTAATTGAATTAGTTATCTGTGACATTGATTAAGTTATTGGATGGTTGATGACAATTAACTTAAAAAGAAAGATGGGGAACGATGTTTTTCCAGTTGGATACAATGAAAAACTTTATGTCTATGACATGATTTATCTATCAAGACAATCATTGAACATGTTTTTGACTTGACCTTAAATTATACTATTAGATCATTCGTCTTGGACAGGATCAAACTGACTAATTCATTGGTTGTTTCTAAGCATAGTCCCTCCCCCCCCCACGTCGTGAACTTGGGTTGGATACTTTCAATTTTAAAGATGACAATCATTTCCTACATTGTGAAATTAGGATAATGGGTCATAATTGTTCTATATGGATCCTAGTCCTAAGTCTGAAATGTTAATCCCAAACTATAATCCTTAATTCTGTTATTAAACCTTCATTTTACAATTCTATTAGTGCTTTATTCATTAGAACTTGTTATTTCTTTAACTTATACGATTATGGCAAAATACAATTGCCAATTTAGGTACGCTGACTTATACAACCAACTAATGATGCATACATCTGTATGAACGGTCTGTGTTTCCAACTGCACTTTTTTCCCCGACTTGCCCTGCGCGGTGATTCCAGAACACCAATCTTAGCCTCCACGATAAGAATCGTATATTTCAAATATACTGAGGTTTATATACAAACCAAACAGACCACATTGTACCATAAAATAGCAAATAACAATTGTACAAGATCTAACCAAAAGTGGCTGTGAATGTGGGAGGCTGTAATAAATAAACTGGGGCATAACTGAGGAGCAGTAAATCGTTTCATAATAGTCTATGGGTCAAAATAAAGCTTAGAATAAGAGGAACAAGAATATGAATAGTTTACCTACTTAACAATTATACAATAAGAATACGTGTATCGTATCGATTCACACATAGATTATTGGGTCATTCAGTTGTATGAAACGTAGAATGTGGCACATATGATACATTGATTTAAGTTGTCATATCCTATCAGCGTAAAATGATGATAACAAAGCAGTTGAAGTAGTAGCAGTACCAATGGTCACAGAAACGACTAGACATAGACGATATGATTCGACAATGAAATGTGAGATCATGAGTCAATTGAAACTAGACCACCATGGAAAACCTGGAAACACTGAACGGCCATTTCGTTCTATCATGGAAATGGCGTCCAGTGCTTCCAGATTTTCCATGGTGGTCTAGTTTCAATTGACTCAAATGTTGAAATTACTACAATCTCCACAAAACCCCTTCTGAATGAAATGTGAATTTGTGAGATAATGTGCTTGTGAATGCAGGATCTTAAAGAAACCCACCTAAACTTAATGATCAATGATTAAACGTGAATTCATTCATAAGTAAGCAACATACTTAATGATATTGTTTAGAAAACTATAATTCATGTTCAAGAAGGCACTTATTTCTGAACATGACAATTGTTGAAATTAGACCTAATATTCTTCAATATGACCATTCTTCATTAAATGGGGTTACATGGGAAAATATTGAAACCCATGCATTATTTATTAGATGTTTCACTTCACAACCGTCAACAGTCACCATAAGAGTTCTTCAATATTCCCTATTTCTCAATCCTGCTGTCGTCCTCCTTGCGAAATTTAATTGTTCTATTTAGACTACTTATGAGTAACAAAGATTTATTGTAGGATTTCTTAATTGTCTCCTTTATAGTTGGCTTAAACTGGCTGAACTTTTCGTTCAGCTGTATTAATTTTATCTTTCCTATCATTTTCTATTGACTATTGTTCCTGGAATTAACATCTTGTGTGTAGGTCAAAAACCGGAACTCAAAGGTGAAAGAGAACAGAACTGGTTGATATGATATGGGAAAACATTCTCAAATGAAATTGATCTCCATAAACATAATCTAAACAGTGATTAGCTTCCAGGTGATTTTGTGAATATTTAATAGGAATTCGTGATTAGTTGAGTTTATCGATTTTGGAAATATAACACACTTCATCAAAGCTATTGAATAACAGTCACACGATCTCACAAATTAACTGAAGCTGAACATCTGAAGCATTAGATCTCAAATTAGTAGTGGTGTACAAGTGAAACCATTTGTGATAACTTGTGGCCTTGTGTCTAATTATTATGTAATGTAATGATACCGTCATTTAGAGAACAGTGAATTATCGACTGGACCAATGACATATAAACCCGTACGAATAGTCTAGAGTCCTTATCGGTCCTTCTCCCTGCATGTTAAGTCCACAACACCAAAATCAGCCTCTGCGATGTGAATCATGTACATCAAACATACTGAATTTATATTACAAACCAAACAGATCACATCGTACCATAACATAGAAAATACACATTTGTACAAGATCTAGTCAAAAAAGTGTCTGTGAATGAGGCAGATAGTGATTGATAGACTTGACACAACTCAAGAACGGTAAATCGTATCATAGTAGTCTGTATGTCAAAATTAAGTTTATAATAAGAGGAATATGAATATGCATAGTTTATCTAATTAGTCCATAAATAGGTCCCAACAATTACCATCCACTATTATCGTCGAGATATAACATCGTTTACTGCTAGATATGAGAAGGCCATGGGTTAAGTTCACGACAGGGCATTGGTTACAAACTGTTGAGCATTTTAAACTAGGATAAATCACTCATTGCCATAGCAACATATATATATATATATATATATATATATATATATATAGTCTTTTCAACTGTGTCCAATTGAGGTTTGATTGATTGATTCGTATTGTTTATCATTAAAATAGGTTAGACAAACAGAAGTAACAATACGTGTTTCACAAGATGGATTAACAGTTACAGATAATTGGAGAAAATTATTTTTTCGCCGAAATTATCCATTTCATTCTGTATCATTTTGTGCAATTGATCCTTGTCAAAGATGGTAAGTGTGGGTAGTTTGTTTTTCAAAGTTATAAAAATCAAAAATTATTGATCATTGAAATCACTTTACAGGTTCTACGTTGTTGTAGGTCCTTCTTAGTGCAAATCAAATCCTATTGATCAAGTTCCAATGTGACTACTAGTCTAGGGGACTCAACGTTGTACTAAGAATGACCTGACATACATGAGATTCATCACCATCCGGTGATCAATCAATTGTAAATACATCTCAGTCCTACAGGAGGTTGGTCGCGGCCCGGATAGCTTAGTGATGATGTCTGTGACTGTGAAGCTGAATGACACAGATTCGAATCCGTCAGTGCCTATAGTTATTCGGATGAATTTATATAAGTGATAAGATATTGTATTTTTTTCACTACTGTTCAGTGTCTATGGATATGTACATGAAAGTAACGTTCACTTTGTCCACCATTAATGCTTCTCATAGTTATCACAATGAAAGTAATGGATAAGTTTTCATTTTTGTCCTTTGTTGTTGCATTCCTCGAATTGGTAAGAATGAAACGAAATGCTTCTGTTGATTTGTAAGAGACATTCATTCCAAAGGGTCTTGGGATCCTTTCAGTAATTTCTAAAATGGAATACATCTGTGGTGGACCAAACAGATAATAACGCAAAAAGTATAAACAAAGTTATTAAAAATCAATAGTAATATTAATATATATAATTAATTGTTACAAATACAATAAAAATTAGGGACGTTGCTTAAATTGATCAGACGTTGCGTGTTATGATTAGGTTCAGTAAAGTAAATCCACAATTATAAATGTTTGCTGATTCTGAGCAGGTTGTCGAACTCTCTAGTGATATAGTCCAACATAGGATGTGATATATTCCGATTACAGTCTATAAATGTAGATAGAATTTGATGTAGACTTCAGATAGCTCAATCACAAATGAAAATAGAACGAGGAATGTGTGAGAAGCAGTGTATTTGTTAGCAGCAGCGGTATGTCACGCTATGTAATAGCACAACGGAAATTGTGTTCAAGGTCATTTTACTAAAACAACAGTTACAGTCATTTAATGTTAAATATACATACAGTGGAAGGTTGACAAAATAAATACAAATAAAATTGAAAACTATTTACAAAATAAGCTTGTCGGGTCTATCTCCACACATCAATGACAAAGCTTACTTATCCCTTCTCCACATGAAAACACACTATACTGTTCCGCGGTCGTTTTAGCCTGCCGCTAGTTCGTATACTTCCTTGAATGAGAAAATCAAGAGTAATTGGCTGATCCAACCAAAAATATATACAAAACTCATAGATAAATATTGTTACATGTCCCTTAGGGAATTATACGGTACTTTTAACCTGTGGTTTGTGCCTATATCCTCAGAAAGTTAGGCTTAACCTTTACCTATAGCATGTACCCATTAGTATCTTTCATTTATCATTTGGTTCAAAGTATCACCTTTCCCTTAGGATAATTCGAGAATCCAATGATTGGTTGAGTTAGGACAACTGTTTTATTAACCTGGTAGCACTGGACGACCGTTTCATCCTATTGTTGTAGTCCTCAGAAGTAGGCATCCACGACCCCACTCGCAGGACTCGAACCCAGAGCCTTCCTTCTCGCGCGCTAACGCGAAAATTTATCAGTACTTCACTACCGTTGAGATGTGGGAATGTTCTGTTGAAGCCAATCACACACAGTGGAAATAATAGTTGTTGGATTATTTAATGAGGATTATACTCCTTAACAGTGTTCACAGATAACCTTATCTGTTCTCTTGTTCTAAGAGAAAAAAGGTGACATATCTGAGGAGAATCCCTAACTATCATGAAGCTCGTTATCCAACTATCAGTACAACTACAACTTAAAATCTTCATTATAATTCAACTCGAAATTTAACCAATTCGTTAAAGTAATATTGTGAAATCGGGCTTAAGTCTACCCTTTCCTCCCCCCACACACAGGATTGAAATCGTTATTATTATATTAAGAATTAATTCATTACACTAGCTCGAACTGTATTCTTCGTAAAACTCTTTTATCTCTCTCCCTCTCTCTTTTAATTTACTCATTTCTTTAATCGTTGAACTCATGAGTCAATTGAAGCTAGAACACCATTGAAAATCTGGAAGCACTGGACGGCCCACTTCGTCCTAGTATGGGACTTCTCAGCAGTGTGCATCCACAATCCTGCCTCGCGAAATCCGAATGCAGTACCTATCAGTCTCGTGCGCGAATGCTTAACGTCTAGACCATTGAGCTGACCGGCATCCAGCAGTGTTAATGTCAAACTTCAACTAATCCACGAAGTTTCTCCACCATTCACCATTGTCATCAGTGAGTTACTGCTGAGGAGTCCCATACTACATGACGAAATTGCCGTCTAGTGCTTCCAGGTTTTTCATAGTGGTCTAGCTTCAATTGATTCATGAATTCAACTATTAAAATTACTATAATATCCACAAAACCCCTCTCTGATTACTCATTTCTGTATGTGAAACTCACACTCATCAATCAATCATAAAGGTTTATTTATTTACAAACAAACATAAACTAAAAGTTTATTATGTGAATCAATATTTTTTTTGTTTTATAGTTGGGAATCACCTGAACTCAGATCAATGGGCTTCAAATCTTCATTGTAAGTTAATGTACATAAATATTACATAATATTCATATTCAACAAATGGTATCCACTGTGAATTGACCGATGTAGATATTCTAATGCTTATTACTTACTTATGCCTGTTACCCCACGTGGAGGAGCAAAGACCACTCACAAGGATTCTCTATCCAACTATGTTCTCGGTAATCCTCTCCAGTTGTTTCTAGTTGCTATTCATCTGTTCATTGGTCCTCCTCTCTTCCGTTTCCCTTCAGGATTCCAAGTTGGCGCTTGTCTCGTGATCCATTTCCGAATTTCCTCTTCGGCTGGTTTGTTCTCTTCCACAGTAGGTTTTTGCTGATGGTATTCGGTCAACAGACATTGAATATCTTACGTCGACAACTGTTTACAAAGACTTGTACCTTTTTTGATGATGGTTGTGGTAGTTCCTCAAGTTTCAACTTCGTACAGTATAACTCTCTTGGCATTCGCACTAAAGATTCTGACTTTGATGTTGGTTGATTTTTGTTTTGAGTTTCATATATTCTTCAACTGCAGAAACGTTGTCTTTGGTTTGCCAACTCTTGCCTTCACATCTGTATCAGATCCCCTTTGTTCATCGATGATTCTGTCCATATATGTGAAAGTTTCTACATCTTCCAGGTTTTCTTCATCAAGTGTGGTTGGATTAGTGCTTTCCGTGTTGTATTCGAGGATCTTGCTTATTCTTTTGTGTATGTTGTGACCTACTGGTGCAGAGACTGCTGCCACACTGACTGTTTTGACCTTCATTTGTTGATGTGTATAGGATAGGAGAGCCAGGTCCAAGTCTTCTAATTGATTCCGAGTTGTCTATGGTATTCCGTGTTTCCTCTCAGATGTGGAGATCTTCATAATCTAGTCGACCACCAGAAGAAAGAGGAAAATAGCGAGTAAGAAGACTTATCTGACTCTAGTCCTCATTTGGAATGTATCTATCTGCTGTCCTCCACACCGTGTGGTCCTTCGTATGAATTTCACATGATATTGACTATCTTTTCAGGTTCATCATAGTGTCAATGAAGTTTCCATAAAGTTCTCCTATTCATACTGTCAAATACTTTCTTTTCAACTTACCCTACATCATAGAACACGAGAACAATCAAACTACTCAATATGTAGTTTTTTTTTCAATGAATTAGAGTGTATAACTTCAAGCTCACATGATCATATGTATCAATAAATAAGATCATAATGTGCACAATTAAGAAATTATAATCTATGCATAATTAGGTCATTTATTGTATAGAACTAAATGACCAATACATAATTAATTAAGTGTAATTCATATATATATGAACCATTAAAACTATAAATCAACGGTTACTTTGTTAGTGTGTTTTTTCTTAGTGAGTTAGTTTTCTACGGAATGGAGTTGCTAACTCCATGCTCAATCCTCCTCCTTTATCCGAGCTTGAGATCGACAGTAGTTCAAGAAAGTCTCCAGGAGGGGTTAGATCAACAATTTATAATTAAGGTCAATATAGAACAATCATTAACATTGAGTATATTTAAGAATTGCACAGGAAATATATGTATGATATTTAACCATAGAATATAGATCTTCAGATTTCCATTTTACTGTAATTCAAGTCTAACATTTATGAATGCTAGACTACCATCACAAAAAAAGTGTTCAAAACTTTGATTTTGTCAGCTAATTGAACTATTAAATAACACAAGGGGTTTTTGTGGATATTATAGTAATTTCAATAGTTGAGATCATGAATCAATTGAACCATTTATTTGGGACGAGGGTTTTCAACTCCCCTACGTGAGTCCTCCTTGTCCATCAACTCGGTTAAAGTACCTGCCGGATATTCACTTTTCATCCTCTCAAAGAACACATTACACCGAGAAATGTAGATAAACATTAAAAGAATGAACAATAATTGGATAAAACTAGAAAGGAAAGCCCAGGATAGAGTGGGTTAGAGAATGCTGGTCAGTGGCCTATTTTTCATTGGGGAATAACAGACGTAAGTATGTAATTCATGACAGTCAATAGCCTTCACATTCATCAATTCATCTGAACTATACCATCAATGAAAACTTTGAAACACTGGACAATCATTATATTCTAGTGTGGTATTCCTCAACACCGCTCATCCATAATCTTATCTGTAATTCAATCGTCTAATGGTTAAACATTCCCATATATGATCAAAAGGTGTTAAATTCGAATCTTTTACAAAAATTATCGATTAATATTGATTGTTTCATTGTAACATTCTCGTTTTTTTTTCTTCATTTTTTTTTAGAATTTTTGGTTTTGTTGCTAGAAAACAAAATACAAGAGAAAATATGTGTCATGTATTATGTGATACACCAGAATGTAATGCAAATATAATTACAGATTATATTATGCATCGATTAAATGAATATTAAAAAACATTTATTGATTTATTATTAGTAGTATTATGTAATCAAATCAATATTTCTAACTTGACTACTAATGTACATATATATATACATATATGTGTAAACCATTTACTACATATTTATTATCCCTTTATGTATGAACGCCGAGGACAAGGTTGGATGAAGGGTGTTGTTGGATGGTGGTCTATGCTCCTCCACGAGAAGTAACAGGCGTAAGGAAGTAATGTATGGGAATCATCCTTATAATATTACCATTATCACTGAAGAGTTTTTCTTGATTTTCAATCAAAAAAGCATTCCTATTAGCAACAAGAGAGAGAAACAACACACCAAAATTACAGAACAAAACTGTATACATCTTGATAAGAGATTTTTTTTCTACTGTAGATCCATTGTAAATTGTTCTTTCTTTGTTTTTCTCTTTGTTTTCGTTTTTCTTTTTTTGTTTCTTTTTCTAAAGAGAACAAATCATTCTTGTTTATACATGTCATTGTGTTCCTTTTGTTGTGATTGTGATTGTTGAGTCTTCCATTTAATAATTTTTTTTCTTTCTTTTTTTACAAAAAAAAATTATATTTATTAAGTGAGTAACCAAGCGCGCACACACACACATACATCAAAGAAAAAGACAAAAATGAAATACAGATCATATATGAATGAATGAATGAAATAGATCTACATGATAGAAGAAAGAAACAAAGGTAAACTAGAATTCATTATTACACCGCAACTACTCCTCCTCCTACTACTACTACCTACTACTACTTCATCAATACAATTAATATTATTGATTATTAATTATTTATATATGATCTCTTCATAGACATTTGCATTTATTATTGATTCATTGATGGATAAATGGATAGATTAGTTACTATGTGATGAAATAAATGTGTATGGATATTTATCATACAGTTGATGACACATTTTTTTAATATTTTATGTGTGCCAATAGGTTCTTTATTATTATTATCATTACTATCCAATCAGAATAAAGATATACTTGTATCTCTATGTGCGCGCGTGTGTGTTTATATATATGTAATACTAACATGTATGTATGTATTTGACGTGTGCATTTGTAACTGAGTACACAAAATATATCCAATCAGAATAAAGCAATTCATTTGTGTGTATATATATGTATATAACTACATGTATGTATGTATGTGTAACTGAGTATATATATATACATGCATATACATCGGTATTGTATGATATAAAGTAGAATACTATAGTGATATATTTTGGCCTGTTTTTTGTTTGTTTGTTTGTTTTTCTCTCTTTCTGTTCTCTTTTCTTTTCTCAATTCAATAAATAATTGTACTAATTTCTAACTGTGATAACAGTATTTTCCAGTACTTTTAAAAAGAATCTCTTCTCTCTTTCTCCCTCCCTCCCTCTCTCTCTCGCTATATATATATATATATATATATATATATATATATATATATATATATATATATATATATATATATATATAGATACTTCATACTCTCTCATATTAAACAGATAAAAGAAAAAAAATTTTTCTTTTTCTTTTTGTTTATTACTTCATTCATTCATTTTCATAAATATCTCCATTATAGATTTATTTCATGTAACTAAACTGAACTAAACTGAACTGAACTGAACTAAATTCAATGGATGATAGTTATATATTCAATTGGCATAGCAACTATGTATGTACAGGTTACATAATATAAATAAGCATTAAATTGAACAAAAATGACATTATTATTATTACTATTTTTCAATCAATAAATTGTAACTTTGATTACATTCAATACTCTTCATTATTATTATTATTATTATTATTATTATTACTTATATACAAATGCATATACTTGTAATGGAATATATTCAGTTATTGTATGATTACTAAAATGTATTACAATATACACAATAGATATTGAATCTAAGATACTAAACCGTCTATCTAACCAATCTATAGTTCAATTTTGAAGATGGATTTCACATTGTTGTCTTCTTTTACTTTCATTTTATATCTTTTCATTTCTTTATCAAAAAAACAAACAGTGATTTATAGCTTAGTTTATACGCACAATTGAATTGATTCTATCTAGTGCTTTTTCAAATTAATATACTTTGTATGTTGAAAGGAACCAATTCTCTATATATATATACATAATCATATTATATATGAATATATGAATATACAAAAATGAAACATCTTGACTTATGTTTATGATGAACATGTTTAGTGGTACGTTATTTTGACGTCAATCTTGTTGTCCATGAGATTATCATTTTAATAGGCCTGGGATTGAACTCCAAGTAGATTATTGAGGCCCTTTTGTTTGCCATCATTCAGATCGGGCGATGTTCGTTGAAAGGCTTACCATTTTAGTGGCCCGTGGATCTGATTCCAATTTAGATCGTATAAATTATTGTTATCGCCTATTCTCGTATATAATCGTCGATTTAATCGCCTTAACCAATAACGGAATTAAATAAGTCGAATAACGAGAATTGATTTGTGAATACATATATTTTTGTATATGAAGCGAATGTAACAGAGCAAAGCAGAATGACACGCAGGGAAGACGGCTGGGAAGTCAACTCCATTTTAGTCAAGCGTTACTCATTATTTATAGGCAGACAAAATAAACTACAGACATGCAATAAGTCATGGGACATGATGTGTACACGCATATACGCCCATATAAAAACAGTCAAGACTGATAAGTGAATAATTAACAAGGTCAAAATATGACTCAAATAGAATAAATGAAATGGGATGTCCGAAAGTTAGAATAAGGTATATGGGCTTAGCATAATGACTGACACTAAAAGATTGTAAACATGATTGGTATTCAAATATTCATGTCGTCTAACCTAGTTTAGAATTACCGACTTCAATTGCATTGATGTATAATGCAATTCAGTAAGTTATATACGAGAATGGATGTTTTGAATATGTGTATTTTGTACACTCGTATTTTGTACACTTGTACAAACAATCAGAGAATCGCAGTGAATGAAGCGAAGAAGAGAGAGCGAAGCTGTGCTATTAGAGGTATGAAGGCGATTATCACTTCCCGGTTGTCGACACCATGGAAGGGTTTATCTGGAGGTATCTGAAATAGAAATTGGATTAAAGGTGGTCTTAGTGACCTGTGACCGTGACCGCAGTGCCCAAGGGACAACTGATTAGGGTTAGTCTCAGACATTTTTTTGCAGGTAATTTTCCTGTTAGCTTCGTACTTGTTGAGACCTTACCGCCGGAGATGGATATCCTCGGGAAAAGGCGTGGTGTGCATTTCCTAACCCCACTCCTTCTTTAAGGAATGCAGCATCGCTATTATGTTGGTTGTGTGTTGGAAATATCTTACTGACCCCATGCTCGCTGTATTAAATGACTCATGAATTCAACTAAGTATTCGATACAATATACCAAAAACTAAATGATGAGGAGAGAAGGGAGTGTTGTAAACTAAAATGTGATGGATAATTTCCGAAGTATTAGTAAGAAGATGGGATCAATGGAGTTACTCATTAACAACGTTGGAAGATTGACCATGCAATATTTCGAACACATTAAAGTTACACATGTAAACCATTGTATATCTACTCACCAGATTTAGAGTGGATCGCTAATTAAGAGGCCTGAATCCTCTGGGTTCAACCTCCCATGAGGTTATAGGCACATGGTGCTGAGGAGTTCCATACTAATACTAAAGATCTGTCTAATCCTTTCTGGATTTCAATTCCGGCGAGACTATAATTTATGGACGACCTTTGAATGAATCTTAAGTGACCTTGAGAAATACTAGCCAATCAGAAGACAGCTAGAATAAAGTAAATATATATTATACAAAACCAAAGACTTAAAGTGAATACACTTCTTTTACATGGTTCCAAAACTTATCAAGGTTTGAAAGTGGTTCAGAGGTTCTGAAATCGCAGTTCATACGGTAGAGAAAGTCATTTATATGACTCCATAATACTTGGCCTCTCGAGCAATGATTAGATTGTAAAAACTCCTTCAGCCTCGATAACATAGCTTCAATAATATTTGTATGCACTACGATTGTAGGGTCTAGAAAATGGAGCTTGTGGATAAAGACATGATGCACATAACTAAGTGTATGCGGGTATCTGTACGCTCTCCAATCATCTGTATAGATTGTTGTGCCTGACTGCACATACTCTTGTATAATTGGTATTATTGTCGTCGCCGATTGCTTTCTAACCCTTTGAAAGTTTCTTTTTTGGGCTAACTTGTCGTAAAGTCCAAGGACCTGCGAGGTTTATTTATGGAGTTGCCTCTTACCCAGTCTTCCTTAATATTGAGTACTCTGTTAAATTTTCGCTTCCTGACTACTGTTTTGTCTATTTCAACGATTCTTCCAACTCCTTCAAACGACTCGTATGAACTTGTCATTTTTATTGCACATATATCTCTACAATACTCATACCACTGAACAGCTAAAGCTTTAGTAACGTGTTACTGGTGTTTTTATTATCAAATTTGCAACGATTATCATGATTTGTCTCAGGCTCAATCGGGTTTGAGCGAAGAAAGTTCCTGATCTAGCAGCTTTCTTCCTCCAAAATAGATAACATCATCGAAGTAGTCTGCACACTGTACAGCAATTACTTTATTACCTCAGTCACAAATAAAGGAACTTCTTAGTAATCCCATCTGTTGTAGCCGCTCAATTATCACATCTCCCAAATCCGCTGTAAACCGATAGTATGTGAGTATCAGGTATTGAAATTAGCACCGTAACCATGTAATCTATCAAACGTTTCTGATTGACTCATCTATAAATTATCGTCTCGCCGAAAGTAATCTCCAATTTCATCGCAACAACTTATAAGAAACTATCATTAGTATTTGGACGCTTTGACCATTAAGATATTCATGCTGAGTTATATAAATTTGAATTTGAAGAAATTATAGGCTTTTGAGAAGTTGAAAAAAAGGTTGAATGCTATGTGGTCGGAACTAATCGACAGGAAACCTTAGACACGGAATTTGAATAAACGTATCAGTCTAGGGCATTACTATTGAGCTACTCTAGATGAGATTGATTTTCTTTGAAATTGATTGATCTTCGGGTAATAACTGAGATCAACAAAATATGATCAACAATTTAGGATTAAGCGAATGTGACACCATTCACTAATCATTGTACAAGCCTAAATTGTCAATACGGTCAAGTATGGAACAGAAGGTCACTACTAATTACATTTTTCTCCTAAATGAAGAATAGTTCATTGTTAGCGTACTGATTCAATAAAACTCATTTATTGTTTATTTGTATAAACGTTGATAAAAAAGGGTATTGAAGTATATATGAACCGCACCAGTTATCACTAAATTTGGGCCCCCAAATGTCCTGCTACTGCCGATAGTCAGCTCTCCTTCTCCAAATGCTATCACATGGTTACGTGCATACAACCACTGCCAGGGAAGTCCTACTCACTGCCTTCTCGCGAAGTAGGTATTGTTTACGAAATCGAGAGGACGAAAAGCGAATGTCTAGTGCTTTAACCGGTTTGATGGACACGGAGGATCCACGCAGGGTAATTGGAAAACCCTCATTCCAAATCAAATGGTGCATATGGCCTACAGGATCATGAAGGAACAATTGGTGTATGAACCAATTATTGGTCACCGTCTACCATGTGACTGTATCTACTGACGTTGCTTCACTTCCTTGTGGATCATACTTTTAAGTTGAAGTCTCAGGTAGTGGCTTTCTAAGGAAACTACCTGTTTCGGTCTGGGTACTCGGTCAGTATCATATCCCACACACAAATCAAGTGACTTGTGTAGCGCATATGAATTCGGTGCTCCTTTGTACCAATATTTATGTGTTTAAATAAATAAAATTTGTGTATGGTCTGAAATATTCCCCGGGTGCCCAAACCCAAGCAGGTAGTTCTTTTAGGCAATCATTCTCACAACCTTAGGCTCAGAGGTCTTATCCACAAGACCGTGAAGCATCATCAAGTGATGCGTTCCTATGGTAGCTAGTGACCCATATTGACCATTGACTGGAATCACGCTTTTCAGATTTCTCTAGTTGAGTCCTCCATGCCCCACAACCCAATTTAAACTCCAACTGGTTATTCTTCTTTAGTCCTTTAAATTTGGTAAACAACACCTTAACTAAGAGATGAGTATGAATCACAATATATGCGTGACCCCATATGAGAGCATTCGAAGAGGAGGAGGAGGGAGGGGGAAGTAAACTGTCTTCACCTTCAACTATACCATGATATTTGGTGGACGATGAAAGAACTAAGAAGAATACTAGTTAACTTGAAAATGTATATTGTATATGTATAATTATTTGCATAATTACGTGTAATCGCCATCAATATTTAAGGTTCTAAACATAAGGAAATCTAGGAATAGGTTGATTTATTCA